AAATCCCATTCTTTACGGTAAATGCTTTACTTAAACAGCAGGCCTGCATAGAAGAAGGCCTCTTTACCGTTCAGGCCACACCTTACTAGGCTTGTGCTAACAGCGGCGTTTTATGTCACTCTCTACTGTACCCTGAGTATTTGCTGGCTCAGTGCGTTAAGAACATCACTCCAAAGATTGTAACTAAAAGATTCGCTTCCAATTTGGCGTTTCTTTGACTAAAGTGAGTTTTTAGTAACATCCATTTTAATTTTTGGAAAAGCCAATTTTTATGGCATTTTGTGTAATTGGTCTCGCATCACTTTTAGTGGTAGTTTTAGTGGTTTGACCAACTTTTAATCATGCGCGCCCAAGTTGCTGATGCGTGAGATTTCATCTGCTATTTCCTGTATAATTAAGCAGAAGGTCTGCTAACTTTCTGAAAGTGTGATTCCTTGTAACCGGCTTTGGTGACAGCATTTGCCTACAAAGGTGAGTTCAAGGTCAATGCATTGGAGACTAACCACCTTCTGCTTTGGTTGGTGAGCAATATGGCATGAGTAATATGGAATCGGCCTGTCACTATTTGAAACTTAAGCCTATGGTATTCCACTTATTTCAAATGCTATTTTCATAGCTTCGAACACTATTTGCATCACAAAAGCTCTTGATATAGCCTTTTATTTGCTGGCAAATACTGATTTGTTTTTAAGAATGTTTGTTACGACTCTAAAAGTGACTTCACGAAAGCCTTGATAGAATGGAATTGCTGGAATAAAAATAAATGGAACACTACCGCATTCTCCTTAAGGCCTTGTTTGCACCTTAGTGTTGATGGAGTACAATCGTTCCGATCACTGTTTCGCCGAAGTGCTGTCACTATGTTAGTTTGAGGTAAGATAGGTTTCTTTCCCGCGCCTCCTCGGTACACAAAATGCCTTCTCTTAGCTCTAGCTCGCCTCCATACAATTCCACCGTGATTAATCACCCCACGTATCTGCACCCATGCTCGACATTGATTCGGGCGCCTGTTTCCAAATGTGGATACCTTCGTCCGCCTGCATGTCATGTACTTTAAGCCTACGACATGCCGAATCTGGCCAGTTCATTCACCTTTTTTCTTTTAAAAATGTGTTTTGGATTATATCAGGTGACCAAAAAGTTAATGGGGTTCACGACCTAGGCCTCTGCAACAACTTTTTTGTAGAATGCATTCGATACTCCTTCTCGTGCTCCATCATGTTCCTGTTACTTTGAGCCTAGGGCATACAGTTTGAGATCGTTGCCTGCCTTACGAGCCGAGTTTAAGTCTGTTGTAGAGCATTTGATGAAGGCGCGGTATGTGGTAGCAGAGCATATCACCCAGAAATAGCTCAAGCTGTTTGATGACTCAAAGATGCTTATATTTTTATAATTTTAATTGCCCATGAAAGTAGAATTTTTGATGCTAACATTCCTCATGTATGCCTAGAATTGTTTACGAATCGGTTTCGCTTGGATATGTCACATCGAGTACTTTTTATGCATGCAAAACACAGGTCTTGTGCTAGCCGAGTTCTTTTTTATTGGGTTCAGTTTTGCTATGGAACTAGTGAAGTCAGATAGGTAGGTAAAGATATTAATGAAGTTATTGCTTGACTAAGGTTTATTTGATAGTTTTGGTGATGAAGCAAACTGTAAACCATTGGAAAGGGGGCGTTCCGAGACCTACCCTCCTTCGTTGTAACGGCTATAGAGGCGAACCATTTTGGTTGGTAGACGCAATTTAAAAATGAGCAATCGCAAATCTGATCCTGCAACTAAATAGGCGAAGTTGAAAGGAGCGGACCTATGATTAATGGCTGCAACCAACCGAAATGGAGTTGTTGGTGTTAAAATACCGGATGTGGTATTAGTCACACGTATCTGCATCATGCATTCACCCGTATTCACCAAACCTCATGAGTAAATATGCTGATGTACACTTTGAAGAAAGGGACAGTTTTTAACTTTGAAAGAGTGATCCATGTAGGTCAATAAAGTGCTTAAGGCGTCTTTTTCGACTGCTTAACCGACTTCACAGTCCATGGTATCGATCACTAAGATTGTCTTCGTGCTTTCCTCCACGCTTTGTGTCCTGAATATTCTTCAAAATCGTGTAATCCATGCTCAATACTCTACCGGGAAACTTAATTAGCCACGGTATCATCCATGTCTACAGATATGATAATCTTTAACCATTATACGTATTTATAGATGAGAGACCATCACTGAAGTACCTTGCGCGAATTCGCTCCAACCTTCTGCTCTTCATAAAGCCGCTCATCCTTCAGCAGTATCAGCTCAGCCCCTACAACGGTAACTTTCCACCCAACGGCGAGGAGGTGGACTATCTCTTCAACTTCCTCTGCACTGTTAGAGAGGTACCTGTTCGCTATTCCTTTTTCTCTCTCCGTCTCCTACCCTATTTATGTTTCCCTTGCTGTAGCTTAGCAACCGCTCCTCCATTGACGCAATACTGGGGCACGCGAGATTAGGGGCGTATACTCTACACCCAAGCGCAATAGACAGTCATTGAGTTTCCCTATTTAAGTTTGCATTTCTCTGCCTGGTAGGCAGGTTGATGGTCTGATTTGCAAGGCTTTGTGCCTACCTTGCCACCAAATTTCTTCAGCATCTTACCAATAGGATTGTGGTTAGCGGTTAGCATCATCTTGATTCGAGGTTACTTTGATGTGTACCATTTGCACCTTCCCATTTTAGTTATTGCTATATCGCTTATTGAGTTGTTGTAAAAGTGCCTATCTCAATTTCCTTGGCAAATTCCTCTTAAACTCCCAGTTATCTAACCCGCTTGGAGCTGTGAAGTGTTGTGAGGTGATGCTGTGGTATTGAATAATATGCTCAAAATGTAGTTGGAGATCGTTGAAGACCAGAACTTGTTTCTCAAGGCTTACCAAGCCCTCTATCATTCATTTGCTTGATAGCAGAAAATTTCCATTTATTAGCCTCTATTACTTTTAAGGTAATGGTCACAGCATGTTACATTTGAAGGGAAAAGGTTAAATTTTTAAGCAAACATATTTGTTAAAGTGTCCGAAGCCCTGTGGTCGAATGCACTGCGTATCATACAAAATTCTTTAGTCGTAATGAATTCGCAGTGAGCATCACAGTAAAGGTTGAACCGAGGGTCCAAAATCGCAGGTTTTTTGAAAAATCTGGAATGGAGTATCACGTGTTTGATATTATTTTCTTTCCCAAAAAACTCGCATCACCTATTTTCCTATTTAAACAGTTTAGTACAATATTGTATATCATTTTTAAAATTTGTTGAACTTAGTCCAGGTCATCCTTTGTGTGGATCAGAATGCCTTCAAATTGTGTGATTGTGTCCTCTGAGTAAAACGATCGAGCTTCAATCCTCAGATCTGTGTAACTAACCAGATCTAAATGGCTTGATGTCCGGTTGTGTGGCAGACTGAGTATGCTGCTTCAAACCAAGGTTACTTTCTAGAATCGGCACCGTGTGCCTATTTTTACTCTTTCGAGAATATTGATCCCTGTCTCATCCGCTCCTCTCTTTCATGCCTCGCTTCCTAGTCGGACAATTTGAAAGACGTGCTCTACTTTGCCGTGGCTCTAATGTCCCAGCATCCTGCGGTGATGGTGCCGTGTTTCGACCGCCACGATGGTATTCAATGCGTTTTCCAACTCCTCACCCTGCCTGACGAAGATTCGCGACTTTATGCGCTCAAATTGCTAGGCTTCTTCCTCAAATACAGCAAGTCCAAGTAAGGATTTTATTTGACTGCCAGAAAGGCGACATAGCTGCGAAACGGTGTGGGGTTCACCTCGACCTCTTAATCCGTGGTATTTTTTCAATAGCAGTATTTAGTGTAGATTCGAAAGGCTTCATAGGTTACTTTAGTGTGAAGTTCGATGAGGTAACCGCTATATGATCCCACTGATCCCTGTTATTCTTTCCAATAGAATTTTTCCATTCTCTCGTTTTCAGCAAAGGCGAAGGGGTTATGGCCTCGAAAGCAAGAAACCAATAAAGCCGGAGGGCAAATCGAATTTGCTGTTTCTGCCCTCCTTGATAATAACGATGTGGCGCGTCTATTTGCTTTAGGATTACACTTTTGTTTGACCCCTATCATCATGCCCTAAAATGAAGCTTCTTGTAATGTAATCTCCTCGATGAATCTGTCTATTAAGCCTTTTAGCTAAGTTGAAAGCAGGACTTTTGATAACCATGGAGTAGCTGCATGAAATTGCTTGCGAGGATTATCTTCTTTTGAAGAAAGAAAAGGTTTGTTCCGACTCTGAGTCATTTGCCTTCATGTTATTCCCTAAGGGGATATAATGTTAGTTCAAATTTTGCGTTTTTGCAATGGCTTATCTTCGCTTCAATCCAGTGAGCTCCCACTTTCAGCTGCCGTTTGCTTCAGAGCGATGTTTAACTGAGCTTAAGGAGGGAATTATAATTAGTCTTTACAATCGGAACCTTTGGAAAGAGCTTTCTGGACATTTATCAACGCCAGAGTTAGGACATTGATGAGCAACTCCTATTACAAGGACGGATATTGCATAAGTCAGCTATGCGGGGCAAAGCATTGTCTCCACATCTCCGTATCTGGTGAGAAGGGAACGAAGGCGCTCTAGACTTACAAACTTGTAAAGCTGCTGCTGATTGTTACCGGAATCAGTTGGCCAGCTTTGAAGAAGAGAAAAAGACATTGAGAGCATATAAAAGGTGTGTCTGGGTCCCATTACCTTTTCTCTTACTGGGGATGCCCACGAACAACTTCCAGATTACCGTCTCTACGTGATGTATCATAACACGGAATTGGTGGATTTCGACCAAATTCATCAAGTCTACAAAATACTTATTAGCATTTTCCAAATGTTTTGTGGAAATTATGTCAAGTATTGCTTTATGAAAAGCCTGCTAAACGAAATTGTATTCGCACCAATATATGCAAGATGGTTATATTTTAAAAGGCTGGAATAACCTACCAATATTTTCCGGAGACTGTGGAAATGGTATGGAGAATTAGATAATCATAAACCTTGGTCTTTAAATGCACTTGTTATAAGTGAAAGGTGTCTGCGAGCTCAAAAGCCCATGTAGTTATTAGGTCTGTTCAGTCCTGCTTTCTCTCTCCACTTCATGACTTGATTTTCAAGGTCACCACTCTTGCCCTCTCCCTCTCGCCTCTGCCAAGTGGCAGCCTGTGGCGCTGAGTCCCTGTGATAATCTCAGTTGCGCTTGTGTATCCCATTTCGCCTTGATTAAGAAGTGTTTGAGCTAAATGTGAGGCAGCCGGATCTGATTTGAGGGTGTTTCGTTGCTTCTTAAGCAGGCGTTAGGGGGAGGTGGTGGTGTTAGTCAAGTGGCAGGCGCGCTTGCAGAAGCACTACAAACTGTGTTAGCATTTCTTAACGTCTACCTCACTGGCAGAGCGTGGGTAGGGAATTGAGTAGTTTAGTGCTTTAAAAACGTTGAACTTAGATGGTTCAAGGGTGGGCCCTTAAATCTCTTCCGCCTCCAGTTTCCAGTTTGAGCAGTGCCTCGTTAATTCGTCTGTCTTCATTTATCCATTGTCTTTGATGCTTAGTAGCGAACTTTGCCATTGATCAAGAGGGAAAAATATGCTTTTTTTATGGCGGACATTTAGCCCTACTAAACAGGCACCGGTAGGAAAGTGTAAAATTGTCGTGGATAAGTAAGTCTCGATCAGATGGTTTCTCCTCCCGTCTTTGTCACAGCCATACAAACATCAATGCGCCCTGTTCACTCAAGTACGAAAATTCACCCAAATTGACCCACTTTTCCGAAACGGCTTTCTTGCCTGAAGCCTGGTCTTCCACACGGCTTATCTCAAAAGCTGACATTCTCTGCTAAAAGGTTGAATACACTGAGCTGTGAGTTTTCTACCAGTCTCAGCCTTCGCTCCCGGCTGAGCACTGCGCTTATGTTTCAAACTGCCCTCCCTTCTACTTCGCCGTTGCATAACAGCACCGTCGAAAGTAATGGGAATTTTTTACTTGCCTGTGGTCGCTACAGTGTGTGCATTTGAAATATTTGCAAAATCATGGAATTTTATGATAGAATTCCAAGGACTTACCTAATTTCAGGCACTCACGGGTAAGAATTTGGCATTTTAAATGAGGTGACTATTCGTGTGGTTCAATCTCAAGTGGCTGTACTAGGCGACACGTCACATCATCCATCGAACCAGTTATATTTATAGCACTAAGTAAACCCACTCACCTCGGTTATTGCCTTAATTACAAATTTTGAAAGAATTTTCCACCCATGTTGACTATCAAACTGAGCACTAAAAGACCTTTCATCGATCAAGCCATAAATCAACCCGGGTCGCTAGGTCTACTGCGACCAATTCCATTTTGCTCTACTTCTGCTGAGTCATCTTTGAAAAGTTTTTGTTGTCATTATGGTATGAGAGAAACCCTTATAATTAAGTCTGACAAACCAGCTTTGATGGGATGCAGTCAATGGGTAGTTGTTTCATCACATAGTGACAATTCAGTCAGCTTTTAGCTTTGTAAACCGTAGGCATTAATGAGCTAAAAGATTTCTGTTAGATGTGAATAGGTGTTCAGATAAGCTGATGTAAGATGTGTAAGCGAGCTGCCTGAATAATTCACATGAAGCTAACACATTACATGAAAAAAATTGGGCAACCCGTAGTCTACATCGCGAAACAGGCAGCGATAGTGCGGCTCTTGGAAAAGGATGATACACGGTTGGTGGGGGTGCCATCAATCCCAGAAAACGTGCCCATTTTGGTCAATCTCCAACCTCTCCAAGGAGCCGCGCCCTCTCTCACTCCCTCTTGGTCGACTCCTATCAGGCAGAAATGCACTTAAAGTGTACTAATACTCACTCTAAGGTCAAGGGTCGATCAGTTATTATGAGTATGCTTAACTTGAACCACCGAATGACATTTAGGCGGTCTTCGTCAATATAGACATCAGTTCTAAAGCCTTTGTCAATTGATTATGGCTTTGGAGACAGGAAAAAATACAAGACCCCGCATATGTTAGAAACCAAGATCCTAAGAATTGGTGGCGCAGTTGCACCATTCCAGACGGTTGTGCTGTCTGTCAGTATTGAGCTTCCTACACGTCTCTTTAGAAGAGGCTTGAATTAAGCTCAAGGTGACTCTTTGACGTTCGTGGATCCCATCATTAAGCGTGATTGACAGATGCTAATCTGAGCCACTTTTGTGTATTTTAGACGGAAGCAGGAAGCAGTGGCTCAGCACAGCATCTTCAGCCTGCTCTGCGACCGCTTCGCTGCAGTGTCACCCGCCTTCACCATGAAGGCCTATAATGTCTTCTTCGAGGTGTGTTCCTCTCTATTACACTTTTTCTTCCTTATAGTTTAGTGTGCTACAACAAACATGCCCTTCCTGTCCTTTGTGGAATCACAATCACGCATTGAGTTGGGTGTTAAGCTCTCTCCAGTTTTTCACCTAGTTTAGATATGGAACCTCCCATTTGGATTCAAACTTATGCTTCCATATTAAAAAGCACGTTTTATTGGTTGAACGAATCACTACTATGATTTGCAATCCTATCCCGATGAGATAAAAATATGCTGCGATTTCCACTGTGATGAAATATTTATCTCTTAAAGCAAACAAACGGGCCTCAGCTACCTTCACGTCTGCCTCTTACTTCCCAAATTTGCATTGCATTTCACCGATGATGGAGAACTACCATCAGGGGAATTTAATGGATGAAGCGGATCAGTTTTGTCTTGAAATGCGTTGCTTGGCATCGTGAGATTGAGAATGGCATTTTCTTTCCACTTATTAATTGACCATTCCTGTCTGTCCTAGCTAGGTCTCAGGAAGGGGATGTTCTCCTACACGTTCCAGTTGTGCCTAGATGTATCGGGTAGACAGAGAGAGACGGGTCAAGACCCTAATCATTTGTAGTTTGGCCTTCAGTAAATGGACGATGAATGCCCAAGCATTGCGTCTGTAGCCCACCACGCCTACATCCACGCACAAAGTTTAGTCTTGCGGCGATAAAGTGGTGAGTGGTTCGTTTGAGTCCACCAACTTTGCGGAGCATACAATAGTTACTCCTCATCAGATGCCAAATGGCCCGTTTTTATAACGAACGTGAAAAAAGCGAGGAACGAATTGCTAGTCTCACATTTTTCTCAGTTGTCGTTAAGCCATGGTGAGTAGATGATATATCCGCTTAGTGCCTAGCATCATTGCCCCTTCTCAGTTGATGTGGTTGTAATCTACTTAGTTCTTCACTTTCTGCGTTAAACACGACACTTGATTCTCTCATCGTCGATTTTCCTACTCAACATAGATGCGGAAGTCCTCTAATGGTTGCCCATAAGAGCCAAGAAGGGAGAGTTATTCTGTAGGTGGTACAGTATCATGTAACGATTCATCAATAAACCCAACCAGGCGTAAATCATGTCTAAATGGCTGAATGTGTCTTAAAAAGCCTAAACACCAAATAATATTATCTGAACTTGAGGGGTTTTCGTACTCAACCGTTTCAGATTAGCCTAATCAAATCTGCTAATCGTAGCAGACATGCGTGGAATGTCATCGGGTGATGCTGCCAGTCGTGAGCGGAGCCGTCTGTCAGTGAATTCTCGCTTCCCGTGTACATTTTACCGCTTCGTCTTCATTACACATAACAGTGCTATTTACTACTACCATTAGATTACAGTGATACTTTAAATGCATGATGTTAAGTTTTTTAAGCATTCAGTTCAATCTAAACTCGATTGATGCACTTTTTCCCAGTCCCATCTTGTTATTACAGTGCCCCAATAGGTTTTGGGTAGACACTGAAATCAGGGTCTCTTAGTCTTGCCTACTTTTTCTTCACTTAACATGGGTACTACCAGAGTTTCTAATTTTGTCCCACTCATTTTCATTGTTCGGTTTCTCCTCCTCTTCCCCTCCTAGCTTCTGACAGAGGATATGACGCTGCAATTGACGGAGAAAGTGCTCCCTTATCCTAGCCAAGCACAGAGAATTGAGAACCCGGGTAGGTTTCACTCACCGTTTCTGTAGGCCTTGATCCTCTCACATGTTTTCACTGAATGTGTGTCGTGTTCCTCCTTCTTCCCGTTTATTTTTTCAACTAACAATCTGTATTCATATCAATCTTGGAAATTTAAAGTCACGAAGTGATTTAGATTTCATGCTTTAAGTGAAGCCTTTTGCACTTATTTCATGATTATACTTTGCGTATCATTTAACTTAACTGGCTAACTCAGTTGTTATGCACTGTTTCTGTTTCGTTGCAAATCAGTAAAATTTTGATGATGCTCAACAAACAACTTAATTAGTATTTTGAGAAAAAATCCGTTTAGAAATCCACGTATAGCCTTTAAAAGGGGGCTTTCCTTAATTAACTGCCTTATCCAATAAAAATATGCATTACTTCGCTTCAAAAGTGTGACAGTCTCTCAATCACACCCTCTCACCTAAAAAGATGTTAATGCACTCATCTATCATTGCATTGCCAATTTCGGTGCCTTATTTCAGACCCATAATATCGTCCCATTTATTTAAGGTTCATTTTGACGTAGATCAAACAAATAGGGTAGAATCTGGAAAGGTGAAATGCTACGACCTAGCTCGGTGCCAACGTCAACTAACTCAACTTTTACCTTTGCTGCCCCATCTGTACTGCCGATGAGTGGTAAAACAGGGATACTGACTTTAACCCTATCCATCGTTGACCAAACATTGGCTGGCTTTCGTCAGAACCAAGGCGCTGCAATCTAATTTGGCACCAATACTGAGAAACTCACCTATTTTGCTTTTTTTGCTCTTGTTTCAGCTTTGCTAAAGACGATCGCTCTGCTAATCATCCACTCGAAACGCACTGCTGAACTGATGACTATTCGACAGGTCTTTTTAGAGCACCTCCTTGCCCTCTGCCTCAATTCCGATGTCAATCGTCGGTACGGTGGTCGATTGGATTTGTTACTTCTTTATCTCTTGCTCCCTCTGTTTGACGGCATATGATCAGGTTTCATTCATACGCACGCTAAAATTTTGTCGCAAAAATTTGCATTCTTGAAATCCCACCTATCAATTTAATTCCATATATGTATACATTCATTCAAACTGCCAATTTTTTGTACAACTGAACGCTTTCTGTGCTTCGAGGCGTCAGCTGTCTCCCGAACAGCTTGTGTCGGTACTAATCGAATTCAATGGGCATTAAGTTGAGTGAATGATTACGCAGTCCCCTTTAATTTTTCGTGAATCTAAATATGACACGTTTTCATTTTTTAAAATATTTCGGTATTGCTCAGACTTTTCAGGCAATAGAAACCCGAATTCTTGAAATTAGAACTCCTGCTTAAGAAAAATGCAGTTTTTTTCGAAATAAGACTGAAAGCCATCTGACTTTATGAGACATAGTTTTCAGTGACTTGTTTTGTTTGTTTTTATCTATGCAAAACGCACCGACATTTATTTTGGCAGAAGCTTACTGTGTAAACTTAGGGTGTTTTGGTTTATGACCATGCAGACTAACTGACTTTCAGCATTTTCTAGGATGGCGAAAAATGTCATGTGCCATTTTTCCCCTCCTGCGTTCTATTCAACTTTGCTTTTTTATACGGTATCAGAGTAATACTAGGGTTACCCTGGAATTTAAATTCATATTGATATATGATTCCTCTTGAATAATTAATTACTTCTTTATGATGCTTTCTGCCGACTGACGTTTTGAATGGCTCAGCTTGTTAGAGGAGGCCGTTTATTTCCATGAAAAATACCTTTTCTTGAACCGAAGGGTATCGCCATCTGTTTTGACATCATTTCTAGCATCAATGATAAATTTCCCTTTACATTGTAAATAACCCTTCAAGAGTTTATCAACACACTCATTTTTTGAACTCTTAATGAACAACCACTTCTACATGAGAGTGAAAACATCTCTTGTAATATCTCCAACTATTTGAAGCGCGAAGGAAACGTTTATAATCTTGTGGACTTTGGTCGGCCTCCACCGACCTTAAAATGTAGGCCTTGGGAATTACTCGTCTTGTCAAAATCTACTCCTTACGATCTTAAATGGAACTAAACTTCTTAGGTCATCCGACATCTAGCCGATTCCGACTAGGTTTACTATCTCCTTCCTAGGACGGGAAATCTAACATTTTTACGGTCCCGAGAGCATTCCCATGCCACTTCGGCGTACTAAATCACTCTTCCCTACTTTTTTGACTGGTGAAAACTTAGAGGCATTTTAACGGATTTGCTTTCAATGCGGTGGACTTTCTTACACCTGCTCTCAAAGTATTTTATAATTTATCCTCCAGCTTGTTTGCACTACCCCATCTAATGGATCTGTCTGTCTGTTCTGTCTATTAAGAACTGGATACCTAAGCTCTATTTGAGGAGGAAGAAAACTGTCCATTGATAGTGGCATCGCTTGATTTACTTGAATTCTTACCTTGTGCCCCTCGTCAGCTTCACTGTAAGGGTATGAGGACTTTTTTCTATCCATTAGTAGAATCATCCTTGTCCTTTAATTTATTTTGTTGATATTTAAATTTGGCGTATAACGCAATAGGTAGTGGATATAATAATCTCCTCTGGTTGTAAAAAACCCGAAACTTGTAATTCTTGCATAAAACTAGAGCTTCTTTGAATGATACCCGTGTCCCAGTATTTTAGCTAATAGTCGTTTGTTTCTTTTCGCAAACTGTTGCTTATACCCTTTTTGCTGTGAAAAAGATGAAACCTCTGAACGTTGTGTGGAGAAGGGGGGAAGTATTCCGCTAAAGTTAATTTATACTATTTTTACCGTTGTCTCTTTCAGATTTATTCAAGTCGTTTTTTATCATTCATTTTCGTGGAGGAAAAGGATGTAGAATTTATGTCACTAGCTTAGTATTTCTTTCTAAATAACTTTTTTTGCTTTTGTACCGCTTCGCTTGTATCCAATTTATTACTCTTTCTACTACTCCTATAAATAAAAGAGGGTAGTTTCCCTTCATTACCACCTCTCATTGTTTGAACTAAATATTAGTCGCATTTTTTCGCTATTCGCTCGTTTCGTAATTTTCCAGACGATCAAAAAAATTGAGCTAGTTTATTTTTTAGAGGTGGGAGTGGTTTTAGTCGCGGTTACTACTTTCTTACTACCAAACTTCCAAATTTGCCTTTGCCTTCCCATTTACACTGGTTTCACAGCATCCTCAGACCGTTGAAAATCTTGAGGCACTTGGCCCTCATGGGAGAAAGAAGTGGGTCATCGCCTACGTCCCCACCCGCATTGCCATCAGCCATGCATATAAACTTTTTTCCCTTTGTTCCTCCCCATATCACTTTTAGAGCGGTGCTGCAAATGTCGGTGTGGCAGGACTGGGTGATTGGACTGGCATCGCTGTTCCCACAGAACCGACAGAACAGCTACGCAACCGCGACTGTAATGGAGGTGCTGCGCTGCCTCCTCTTTTACGCCCTTCGCTTTGAGTTTGGTGGGTGGCGAGTGTGGATTGACACTCTGGCCATTCTTCACTCGCGCATCGCCTTCGAAGAATTTCGTCGTGCTAACCACCAGGTCCCTTTCTTTTTTAAAAAATGATGCATCACTTTAAGTATTTTTTTTCAGAAGGAAAGTCGAAGTATAGGTAAGGGGTAACTTTCCTAGGTATCTCTTTCCTCTCAAGAAAAATTCACTGGTGGTGCGATGGGGAGAAGCGCTGAATAACTCCGTTGGACTAACTACCAAATGTTCCTTCTGTCTCGTTCCTTTTTCTTTCAGATGATTGAGTGTTTTGAATCTTTATTAAAGGTGAAGACGGAAAGAGGAGTGATGAATCATTGCACTAACTACCTATCAGATTCGGTCTTTACATTCCTCCTTGATACTGTCACTCTGGCTGCAACAAGTTTTCCCACTTTTAGGGCTTCAAGGGAGGAGAGGTGATTGGAGTGATTGATGGATGGTTCCATCGATTTAACCCCCTCACCAATTCCTATATTCATAATCTTTCTTCAAGCAATCTTCCCTCTACTATTTTGCTCGAAACAATGGGAGAAAATCTGATGGGCAGTTATGCTTCTCTTCCTTTCTCAGTTGTAAATCCTTGATGAAGTTGGGAGGAGTAGTGCCCTTTTCGTACCCATGAGAAGCCTATTAATATTGCAGTTTAATTCCCGGTTTTTTAGCCATTTAGAAACGTTTCATAAATATGAAATTGGGTAGAATGATGGGTGGCTCCGTCTTTGTTACCTTTTAAAGAGTCAATCCATTTTGAAGTCTTCAATGAACTTAAACAAATGAACAGCAGTAAACGGTTATTTAAGTTAATTATTTTATGCTTCCCTAAAATAATGAAGATGGTAGCATTAGTAATTTTTAAGTGCATTCGCTGTGCATTTATTCCTTCATCGTTACAGGCTCACATGGCGAAGAGTCGGGCAGAGTTGCCATCGCAGCACGCAGCTGATCCAGGTCCGCAGCTACAGTCAGTGTCGCAACCACAGCCCCTGGAAACCACGGAATCAGTGGTAGATGGACCGGCGACCTCCAAAGAAGTGGGAGAATCGTCTCCCGATGTAAAAGAGGTCGATCTAACCGATAAAGTCGTCCGAAAGCTGGTAGACAATCTGCTAGATCAACTGGTTCTAGAAGCTGCTGGGCCTAATGAAAAGGTGGAAGGGAAGGGCGATGAAGCTGAAACCTACCTCTCTGCTGATGCGACTGCGCTTGTTGCCACTGCTCATGCTAATACTGCAAAGGGGGATAAGGGTGATCATGCTCAAACCAATTCTGGTATGCTATTACTTCATTTTGGTGTACCAATTACCTGAACAAAAATTATCTTTTGAAAATTGTTATAACATCTTGCATTCTCGAAATGGTAAACACTTTGTTTGACTAGTATACTGATTCAGTAATATCTATTTTGAGAATGTCATTTGATGTGTTAGCTAGACTGTAGTTGAGGTAGCAAGACTGTCTCCAACCTATTTCTTACTGAACAAGGCCAACTTTTCTCTTCTTCCTCCTCTTAGCCACGACCACGCAGAAGTCGAACCATGCACCGGAGAAGGTGGAGCCGCAGACCTTCCGAATACCACCATTTACCTGGTCCTACCTCCACCAGCTCCTTCTTGACAGTGTTCTCCGCTCTATTGAGGACGAATTCCAGTAAGTTCATCACCAATAACCGTTTTGCCACTTTTTCCCTCTTTAAATACCCCCTTTGGCCCGTGTGGTGCATTGATTTTGTTTGCATCGAGATTAGTGTACCTTTGTTCTCGAAATTCTCCCAAAGACACATTAGATTCATGATACGTCTATGCTAACGTTGCGGGAGGACTACAACCACCAGCTGTTGAAATTATAACTTGATAAGTCGCATGTGTTATATTCACAGTGGGCCGCAAGTCGATCCACTGTCTTGCCTCAACTAGCACCATGATGCTGTTGACTCTAATAAATTTCAGCGGTCAACCGCGTACAATTTCGTTCATATTAATGAGTGGTGTGAGTTTTCACACCCTCTGACCATGTAACCCTCAGGTGTTACATTTTTTGACATTGTGTTTGCCTTTCTGCGACGATATTGACGCCTATTTTTATTCTACCATTATTTCTATGTGATAAATTTCAATTCAAGGGTTCAAGTATCTATGAAACTTGGAGCCATGGAACAGCCATTTTGCTTTCCGCAGTGTTTCGCAACAAAGATTGTTTGTTAATTGGAGGGTAAAATATTACACACTATCTTAGGTGGGCTTATTTGGGGAGTAAGGTTTCACAGTGTTTGGGAATCAGATTCTGTAAACCGTGTCCTTTTCTATTTATGTTCTGTTCCATCTACCTGTTCCAGGTAGCTCATTCGATTCCAATGGTACCATGGAATATATTTTACCACGTCTTGCAAGTGGTATCCACTTTAGTGAAATACGCACCTTAAGAATAGCATGTATTTTCTCCTCTGAGTGCGTGAAGGCCTTGTGCTCCACTTGGCCTTTTTTGCTAACTCTCAGTTACCGATTTCTCCCATAAAGTGCATCAATGGTCTCAGAAGCACTTTTTTCGAAGAAACTACTCAATTCGGTCGGCTTGTTCAATCTGGATGTTTTGACTTGTTTCTGTTATTTTCTAAGTGCCAAAATTGGCAATCTTTATTTCCCTTGTATCACATTGACTACCCTCATAAAGTCATAACGGAGCACGCCAACGTGAAGACAGAATGGTACCAATAATATTGTTCCGGGCTCTATCTTACTTTCGTGGTGGTCATATCACCCGAGGTTACGAATTCTTCCAAAACAGTGTATTCACTGTGAATCTACCATTCCTTTGCAATGTTATCAACAATTTTAAATCTAATCCTCAGTTCCTCTGTCGCGTCGGCCTCTCATCGCACCTCTTAATGGGAGCTGAAGCATCCAATTCCAATGGTAGTAGTCTGTTGATGATTCTATCTCCAGATTTCTCATCTCGCGAAGCCATCAGCTCAAGAGCTACTAATGTTACGACTGAATGAACCAACTTTGCCTCTGTCCCCTTTTGCCTCTTAGCGCCATAACAGCCGCAGGCCCGCAGGAGGCAACGGCGAATGAAAAGGCGGTGGTGGTGGAGACGGAGACGGAGACAGAGTCAGAGGAGGAAAGCGAGAGCGTAGCCTTGTCTAACCTCCAAACCTTCATCACTGATCCTGCTAACCAGGTTTACGTTATCAATCTCATCCACCTCGTCTCCCAACTCTCCGACGGCCTCGTTACTGCTAGTGGTGGTCTTCTGCCTCTCCTTGCCGCCACCACATCACCTACGGTGAGTAAAGTTCTTTCCCTATTCTCGGCCCTGCTTAGGTCCTTTTTTTGACGCACCTTGGCTAATGGCTTCCAAGACAGAGCCATACTTTCGTTGTAACCAGTGTGGCTCTTCTCTAGACTTCTGTCGTGGTAGTCTAATCAAGAGAGATCGAAAAGGCCAGTGCAGTTAGGTTTGCGACATCGATTCAGCCATCCACGTCAGAGGTCCGCGAGTGCTCTGCTACCGTTTTGGCACTCTATTCGGCTCTGAAGTCTTTGTTATTGCGTACAGCGCTAGAATTAATGCCATTAGAGATATGAAACTCCATGCTGCCGGCGTAAAGATGAAAACATGGGAGACTAAAAGGTTCCGCGTAGCCAAATATGTAATAAAAACTAAAATCCTTTCCTACTAAATGTCGGGCTTGATGCTCTCTACATTCTCTCTACTTCAGCCATAATAAAATTTGAATGACAAAAATTATGGTGCCATCTAGCTAACAAAATCGTACAGTTTTTACCTAAACCACAAGCTACAACTAGGTTTCTCCCCCTCTCCTACAGATGGAGCTGGAGGTGCAGGAGCCCTCGAGCGGTCTTTCATTGGAGACTGCTCTCGGTTTCCTTCTACGTGTCGCCAACATCGCGGACGTGGTTGTTTTCATGCCCTCCATCAACCTTGGTGCATTGGAAAAGGAGACTGGCATGAATTCTGGTGGCATCGTCCGCCAATGCCTCCGACTGGGTGCGTGTTCCTTCTCTCCATCGAGATAATATCCTTGACCTCTCGTGACACTTTCTATATCTTTCGCTAAATCTGTGTCAAGGCCTACAATTGCAGTCTCGCTGTCTGCGTATCTTGTTTCAGATTGGAGTTTAGCGTTTATTAATAGTTGATTTTTGTTTTAAAGAAAAATCTGACGCATGCCGAATTCATATGAGGCCCCATCGCCTAAGCTAATTGCAGACAAACGGAAATATCCTTCTCATTAGAGAATCGCTTACTTGGTTTTTTTCTTCCTGTTCGGCGAATGAAAAACTATCTCTATTTACTGTTTTTTGTTTGCACGAATGGTAGATTAAGTAAACAGGCGTTTTGCTTAATAGAAAGCCCGTCGCATTCACCCCCTGCCGTTAGAGGTGACTTTGCTCGATACGTTTTCCCTTTCAATGATCTATATCTGTCATTTGTTCATCATTTGATTAAAAATGTTTAGGCACTGAACAACGAATTTGTTTATGCAATTAAATTAAATGGTGTCTCATCCTTGATATTCAAGTAGTTTCGTTTGTTTGGATTACTCTCAGTTCTGAGTGCTCTTTTTGTAGCCTTGAGAAATCACTCTCTCCCTCCTTTTTAGCCTGTCTGTGTGCTGTTCGCAACTCTCTTGAAGCCCGTCTCAAAGACTTTTTTCCTTCGGACGAGATTTTATCCCAACTGTACACCCATCCGGCGCCACACCACCATACCCCCTCACCCCTTCCACCTTTGGACTCGGCACCGTCGATAGCGCAGCCATCATCACAACCATCACTACCCCTGTCGTCATCGACGTCCGCTGATTTAGCCGAAACCTCAAACGCAGTAACTACTGCGACGGCCGCAACTCGAGTCAGGCGGCACTCCCTATCCGCCTTCTACTTCTACGGATTGTTGCGTCACAAAATAGAGGTGATTCAGCGTCTCGCCAATCCAGCTGCCGGTACTCCTTTTCTCAGCCGAGAATGTGTGGTCTTCCTTGAGCGATTGCGACGCCTCCCGCCCGGTCTTCAACGCCTTGTACTTGGATTAAGACCCTCTATGGCGAACTATTCTTCTGGATTTATGGTTTGCTCTCCTTCCTCTCTCATTTCCACATTCTGGTTTATTTATCACTCAAATTTGTTTGAAACAAGGTCTTTTCCAATTTATTTACTTTGTATGATAATTGAAAAGTTAATCTAGGTTACTATTAGCACCTAGCTATCCCCATGCGTGTCAGATGGTTTTGCACTTTTGCAATGTTTTTACCATGGGGTAAAGATGATCGCCAAATTCCATACAACTCTCGCCAAGGGATAACGGCGTGATGTTGTAGGTTGGGTATTGTGGCTGGAATATGCATGGAAAACAAATAACCCGGCCCTAGGCGCTTCCACTTTGATTGGGCTTTTAATTTCCAACTGTTCATTCGATTTCACCCTTAATAATTGCCTAGTGCTGGAGCCAAGAAAAGGCGAAATGATAAGTGTGCATGCCACAGAAGTACGGAATGGACATTGGGTTGATTTGCCATAAGCTGCTCACATGTGAGTATGACCACGAACACTGTCGCAAGCCCAGTTGGACAGTCAAGAAGGTAAGGAGTTTGGGGAGAGAGTTTTACTACCAACAGTCGAAGCGCACAGATAGCCACGTTTGTTATGTGCGTCTCTTGGACTGCCTGGGCCTTAAAGCGGAATGCTGGCATCCTATCTTCAACTTTACGCAGTGTTGCCCAATCAGGAGAAAGTCAACGGGATCGCCAAGTGTGAGATGTCCTGTAGTGTTTGGAATTCTACCTCGAAGGGAGGGAATTTACACTTCCGGTGAAGAAACTTCTAGAACTCCGAAGTGGAAGTTTCCCTAAGACTGTAAATACCCCCACCAGATTCGTTTGAGGATAACCATATCCATGTGATGTGATAGGTTGTATTTGTTCGCTTAACAAACGCTGCAATGCACTCAAAGGCCATTTCCCATCCCAAATCGGTCTGCAGGTGATGCGTCCCCTACGACGCGTTTCATGATGCACGTGAAGGACGTGAAGAACGAGGTACTAATATTCCAAGATTTATTCCTGTCTGATGTTAATCCATGGCAGGTGGATGGCGCAAAGTCCCTTAGTCTCCGCCGCGACCTTGCCTTTCCCATTGATGTAGGTGTGAGCCAACCACTTCATCATTCACTGAATCGACCTTGACTTACAGTTCCCCCTAACACCCTCAATTGTTATACCCGATAGCGAGATCTAAATCCACCTTATTATCGAGAATTGACAAGTTGCCCGAAAAATGAATTTTCTGCATTTTAAATGATTAATTATCAAAACCCATTCATTAAACCCACTTTAGGGTAGTATGTTCGACTGCCGCATACCATATCTTCTCCGAATGCTGTGCATTAAGTTTATGGAGAAGATTCTGTAGCTTCCATTCATGTGCCATTCACTGAATTTAACTCACATTTGGTGGTATGATGATTTTAAGCATTAAAGGAATCTGATGGACACAAAAAGAAACACCATTATCCATGGAGTGACATATGTCTATGCTTTAAAACATACTTTACAAGCTCCTACAAGTTGCAATAGTTTGCAAAATTTCCTAGTCACCTGATTCTTCTACTCTCTAGGACGGTAGTGAGTCTTGAAATCTCACGTACCTCTTTGGCGTCTCTCAAAATGCTACATGCAGAAAGATCCTTCATATGCAGAACTGTAGAGGTCAACTCTAGATCATAACCCCTTTTCATCATCTCCATTTTGCCCTGTAATTGTGGAACTTAGACGATCTTGCCTTTAAAAAGCATGTACTCTGACTGGTTTTGCTGTTTCTCGGTAATCGGAACGTTTCGCAAAGTATGGTTTGTTAAATAGTGAAATCGTAAGAACTTGCTTTTCTTCTGGAGCATATTGTTTCGAATGAGACATAAAAGTGCCGCTTTTGGGCACTGCAACCTTCTATGCCTGCGGATTTGATTTTTTATGCGTTGAGTAGGCGGGTGGTCCAAGCGTCAGCTAAGGGATCACAGGATTCACCTTTGAGGTTGTGAGCGAGGGGGAGCAAAGCCACCAAGACTGGAATGGCTGATGTACCGTTCTTTGGAGCCCCATTTAAGACGTTTGCACCATTCATATGTCTTATGTGACCTCACCGCCACTGTTGCCCACTTTCTCGTTTATTTAACAACAATGAAACACTTACCACTTAATTGTGTGTGTTACTGCTGCGTTGTCACCTGTTTTTAAAGTCAGGAGCCCTGGCTTGAACCCCTTCCCCCCCCCCCCTCCCTCAGTTATTCACACAAAATTTAATTACCAGCTGCTGTACTCTTGATAAATTACTTTTCAAGAAACGGTTTGATATCGTTAACGTTAAAAAAGAGGATTTCAGGCCGTCATTATTTGTTTCATCTTCTTCCCTCATCTAGGGCGGAGTATTCGATAGGACGGTCGCTCACCCCCTAGCGGACATTGAATCACTTCTCCAGAATGTCGATATCAACCGATTACACAACATCGTCTACAGAGAGGAGGTGAGTGACTTAAAATGGCAAAAAATAGGCCATTCAGTACTACCCCCGTCACGATAATTGTTTTTGTGTCTCGGCTGGCTCCCTAGGAGGAGACACGGCAGGTGCATTTTGTCGCCCTGGCGGTGATCTACTTTCTCTCCGTGCTGATGGTCTCCAAGTACCGCGACCTGCTTGACCCCGTTAATCTCTTGAGCCTGTGCCAACGCAAGGGCGCCCCACCGTCATCATCCCCTACTCCCGTCTCTCCCGCCTCTTGGCGTCTCGGATCTTCCGCCTCCGCCAACCCCATTGCATCTACCACTGAAGGTCGGCTGAAAAGTGTTTTAATTTGTTGTTGATTGTGGGATGATATTTATGGTTTCATGACATTCTATACAGCTTATACACTCTACAGCATAGTTTACTTGCCGATTCCTTTCTTGTTCCCAATTTTAGAACACTTCCTTTGTATTGGGGTCAAAAATGCATACGCTGTCACCTTTGTTTGTGTGTTTCTGTGTGTTCACCTCCGATTCTACTTTACGTATGCTTCCAGTATTCTTTCGGCCCTTATTCTTGATAGGTCCAATCAATTTTGCAGTCTCATTGTGGATGCATGTTGAATTTACCACCACTAGCTCTCGAACAAATTAAGTCTGCATTTTTGCAGTGAGCATTTCAAATGGTTTTTGAACAAGAAACAGTGTCTTCAAATGTTTCACCACGCCCTTAAGGCATATTCACACTGTCAATCCTGTATGGCCCACTTTGACTACTGTGTAAGGTGGCCCTTTGGGGTTTCTTGGCCCTGCACAATTTCGAAGCGGTTTTTTCTGTAGAGTGGAAGGAGAGGGTGTTCTCGCAAGGTCTCGGTTTCCAGCCATGTCTTTTCTAGGATATATTCATCAGTGCTCCCAATCTGCATTAGATCGCATTTAGCACAAGTCAGTTCACGGGAGTAGATTTGAGGTTGTAAGGGTTAAACTGGTTCTAAAAGCTGCATTTGCTGCAACCAAGCTTACATCTCAGAAAATCAAAGTCGCGATATGCATTCATTATTCATTACTACCCTAGCGATCTCTCGTGTGTCGTTTGTTTTCTACCTGATAGACTCTCAGAGTCTTGTAACCTCAGTAAAGGTGACACTTGCAGACCTGCTATTTCAACTTGGGACTTGTGTTTTAGGGACAAAATTATCGTCTCCGTCAGGTAGTGGGATCCAGTTTTAAAGCAACATTATGATCTATTATTTTCTTTCAATGACTTTGACTGGGTTGAGTCATTTTATCGTACTCACTGCAAATGTGAGCAGTGGAGTTCGAAAATGTTCTTTTATTGCGGAATTGCTTCTTAGGGTATTAAAACGATCCTTCTGGGGATGTTTACAGCCTCAAATAACGCCCCCGTTTCGATGTTCTAGGAGTTCCTGTTCTAAAGACTTAAATCCCCTCCTTTCAAGCTAGAATTCCAAATACTGCAGAAAATCCCGCACTTGGCGATTCCGTTGAGTTTCTCCTGATTGGGCAACACTGCGTGGAGTTGAAGGTTGGGTGCCAGCATTTCACTTTAAGGTCCAAGCGGTCCAAGAGGCGCACGCAACAAATGTGGCTATCTGTGTGCTTCGACTGTTGGTAGTAAAACCCTCTCCCTAAACTCCCTTGTCTTCTTAATTGTTCGATTGGGTTTACGACAACGTCCGTACTCGCTCGTATGGGTGGTTTATGGCAAATTTCCTCACTGACCCTTGTGGACTCAAAAGACATGCACAATTTCAACATTCTACTTTTTATCATCAGCACTGAAAAATCAAGTAAGAAACAGAACAGCTATTTCTCAATCTGGTTTTGAACCTTAAACCGTCATCAGAAACTGAAGTCAAGTGCCATTCGAAATAGATCCGTTCCTCTATCACTGGTTATGGCTAGTTTTCTTTTATTGCGTCCTTATAAAAATTTGGAGGATCAGAATTAGTCCCATAATGGTTTTGATTACTCTTTCTTAATGGGCTAATTTCTGAAATCATTAAAACACAATAACTAGGGTTAAGTTTTGGAAAAATGATCCGAAATTCAACCTCACCATTTTGAACCTTTTCATTCAACGCTTCTGAGCAACTTGGTTTACTGATTTATTTTTTGTACCTTTTGATCATATTTAAATCAGAACCTGAGAGTGTATTGCTCGTGATCTAAATAGTAACTCGATTTTCAATCTTTTAAACCGGGAAACTAAATTTTGAGTAGATTCTATGTTCATCGTCATGCCTTTACCGTAGTAACAGAGAAACAGACTTCAAAACAGTCTGAAGAACAGAACGCTGAGGACAGACCCTCTTCTAGTCAATCTGACAGTGAGAAAACGAATGTAACAAAATCAGGTGAGGATGAAAAATCGACTGGAGCTTATACGGAACCTGGAGTCAAGGAACAGGTCAAGAACGAACCATCCGAAAATGAAAAGGAGGAAGGTGAGGAAATGGAGCTTATTATACGTCTTTTCACCTTTGTTTTTGTCCGATTACCTCAACTGACCCCTAGAATTGACTTATCTTTTCGATGGATCAACTAGCTGCTCAAAATGGCATTTCCTTTTTCGGGTCAAGACGTGTCGTTTTGACCCGTAATTATGATGTTTAGGAGATTTATGGATATTTTGAACAAAGCGCTTTTACCGTAAATTATCATGAAGTGGTTTGTTTGATTTGTGTGTCATACTGTAGCGCCACGAGACCCACCTAAAACGGTAGAACGCATAATACGCAGGCAGAATATGTATTGTCGACGCACAGAAGGGGGTGGGGCTGCTGGCACGGCCCAAAGGCCCGGTTGCCCGGTGGAGGTACAACGGTGGAGCCTCCAAGCGGCCCATTACGAAGACAGGGAGTTAAACAGACAATTAACGCATTACCAAGCCATCCTCTCCTCATTTGAGCGTCTTCCCCGACACTCATCTTAGTCAGCGTCCCGCCTCGGCCATCACAACGTATTCTGTGCTGTTGAAATTAAACACCCACAAACCAACCGCGTTAGTCATCAGATTTGCTTGCAGCTGAGAAGATACTTGACCGCAGCGTTACTGGTCCCTCTTTGCAATTCTACTGTGGGAAAAGAGAATGCACATGCCATCTCGTATGTCCATCACTAGACGTAAGAACACCGATCTAAAAGCAGTCGTATAACAAAGTACGGTGTTTAACATAGTTTCGTGGGGTTACGGTTTTGCGCCTGTTCCTTGGCAATGTTTATACATCAGTACTGCCCAGCTCTATCAGTCTGGGTTATATCCAGCTGGTAGAGAGGTGGAGGAGGTATTGCATGTTCACATAATTGACATCTTCATACAGGTACGGAGGATAGCTCCCTCACGAACTTTTCCAGATGGTTCACACCTAGTGTCGCTTCAGTTTTTTAGCTTTCCTGCAGAATAGTATGGACTGAGGTAGTTACCTAAAGTAGGCATCATTTTCAGACCTTCTGCTAGGGGTGTTGACCGATTATCCCATCTGTAGCACATGTCCTTCACTCGTCACGCCAAGGTTTATCACCAAGCAATAGAAATAGGGATTGCTGTTCCTTAAGATAGGGTTAGCTTTCCGCTTCCTCTAGTGTAGGGCGTCGAGACTTCTTTGAAGACGAAAGAAGACATAATAAGAGGTTAGAATATGCACTGTCGACCTACAGAAGGGCTACGGAGTCCGGCGGAGGTACAATGGTGGAACCCCTAAATGGCTCGTTACCGTAACCGAGAGTTAAACAATTAACATACTACAATACATCTGTTAGAAGCATTCCCAATCTCTGCGGAACCCCCTCGTGATCTCCAAAAATTCACGCAAAACTGTTTGATGACCAGAGGTTTTAGTGTAAACCAAACTCGATGGCTGGGGAATTTGTAGCTCACAATCTTCTGGAAACTCTTAGCTATTAAAAGGTGATAATAGTGGTTCATTTAACAGCATGAGAGCGGGACTACCTTTATTCCAATAATGGTACTCGTAAATTTGAATAATAGCACTTTTTGGCATTTACACGATTTGACGGTAACGGACAGAAGACATCTGCAGTTTACCAACTCGCCAGCCACCGTGCGTGTCCATGCTTGAGCTGAAGCTGCAAAGTTTAGCAGCCTTTGCCAACATTGAGATTGGGCTGCTGTTTCAACATGTCCATTCCTGTCATATTCATCCAGCCGGCGCATATCAACGACAGCTCAGGAGTGCTCATAACTATCCTTGCACAAATACACCTACACAACTATGGTTTACGCAGTGATTAGGCCTATAATGATATTCGGTGGTCTGAGGGTGTGGGTGTTGCTGCGTTCCTGTCGCCCCTAACAGCCTACACGTTGACGTCCCGGTGACCTCGGCCGAAAGGAATGCAATTCATTTTCATTTGTCAGATATTTTCCTTTAAGAAATAGCAACAGAAATACATTAAACAGATCACGTTTTAATCAGCATTTGATCACAAGGTCTGATCGGGCATGTTCTCGATAATGCATATGCTGTAAACTATTTTATGATGACACACATTGATTACGAAAAGAATTTTGATGGGTCTCTGTCCTCCTCATCGGTAGCAATCGCTTTTTTCTGACGATGTCTCTCCATTTTCGGGTTTATTTCACGTGCAATCTTTGTGTCTTTTAAATTTTATTTCAAAAGCACCAGTTGACACCTTAGTTGCTTACTTCGTACTTATGCACAACTCTCTGGAATATACTTCCTGTCAGACGATTTCTCATCAGCCCAAACTTCCGTCTGTTTCAAATCACAGTTGTAAAAACGGATACCTAATCTCTTAACTGGATGACTTGTACTTGTCGTCTGTAACCTTCGCATTGAACCAAACCTAACCTATGTTGCAGACTTAGCTGACGACGTAAAAGAGGGGAAAAGTGAAAGCATCGATAGTAGTGGTAGTGATGATGGTGAACAGAGAGTGGCTACAGTGCACCAATACATGCCCAAGACCACTCTCCCCGTCTCGCTGGACACTGGCAAGCCGACAGTGTGCAGCGTCATCGGTGGTGGGTCCGATTCGCAGCGCGCCCCCTCCGAGACTAGTGAGACCGCAGCATCGTCACCGCCGACGCCACCCCACCTTCTTGCATCACCTCCTGCTCCCACCACCACTACCTCGGCGGACCTCACTGATCTGTTGGAGCGAGCTCTAGGCTCCTCGGTGCCTCTGCTTAAAAATATCTTCTTCGATTTTGAGACTTTCCTTGCCAAAGCTCTTGTTGGCTCTCATGGACAGGACCTCCTCTTAACTGGTGGCCTCTCTGCCCTTCGGAACTCCTCGTTGGCGGTGGAAATTGTCATGCTTCTGTGCTCGCAGGTAGGGCTCTAGCTAGTGCCTTTGAAGAAGTCTAGGCAGGAAGAGAAGGTAGTGCTCTTTATTCTAACTAGATTGATGGTAGGTATGGTGATTTAGTACTTTATTCTATTTGCATAAAGGCAGGATCTTTCAAGGGTGTTGACCACCTTACGATGAAATAAACATTGAATTGATTGCCTTTACCAATTCCACATCTTGTTTGCTTGCTTGCCTGATAGGAATGGCAGAACTCGCTGCAGAAACACGCCGGCTTAGCCTTCATCGAGCTCGTGAACGAGTGTCGCCTGTTGGCAAAGGCCTCCCGCGAGCACTTCATCAGCGTGGCTCATGAGGCCGATTTCATTTTGGCGCGTCTGCGTAGCCTCGAGTTGCGCCGCCAGACAGCATTTCGGGCGACGACGCTGCGACGCCAGCAATGTCGCGTGACTGAGTTGGACACCCACCAAACTCGGCGGCTGGAGGCGGGAGCAGTGCGTGACGGTCTGGTGGCTGCGCACTGCCTAGCGCTCACCCAACATCTCCTACAGTGCCTTCAACAGGCTCCGCTTCCACCCCCATCGCTGCCATCGGCGAATCGATGTGATGTCATCACCCCTGCCTCCTCGGCTCTTCTCCGACAGATGCGGCTCTTCCTTGAGCGGACGAAGCGGTGAGTGGATTGTCGCCTCTCGGTTTTGGAGTTCTGTTCGTGTATACTCCGATCAGGCACGTCACTCCTGGGTGTCTCTGATCCTTAATTCACTATGGACTGATGCAATAAATTGATCGGCAAAAGAGCTACATTAGAATTCCTACTTGTATTTGCTGTCAAATGTGTTTTCCATACAGTTGGTAGTTACATGCGTATTTGGTGCGAGCAATGCATTTGCATAATTGCTTCGCATGATACTACGGGATCTGTAGTCCTTCAAGCACTTTTTTTCAGAAGTTTTGGATCTTTTTGCTCAAGTGACCTAACAACGGCCAATTTGGAATAGGTTTTCTATCGTCTATTTCTTCTGGCTCAAGGAGGTTTATATCCTTCCATTTTCACTGTCCTAGATGCAATTTTTGGCTTGCCTCTCGAATTGAGCTTTAGAAATATCTCCTGTGAAGACTTACATTGGTAAAATTGTGCTATTTCTGATTGTGGGTTTTGTGGAGATGTCTTCTTCAGGTTTCTTTGTTATTTTTCGAGTGGATTAGATGCATGCATCTAATTAAATACCTTTTTTTCTCTAAATTGGAATGTTTCATCTTTACTCCGTTTTTCCATACTCCCAGCCCACCGATACGTATCTTCTACCGCCTTGACACCTGGGAGGATGATAGTCGACGGCGTCGCCGTCTAGTCATCAATCCCTTCGGTTCAAGCCACCCCGAGGCGACTCTGCACTCTTCACCACCTCCAGTACCCGCACCACCACCAACTCTGGCTATTGATTCCACCGCGTTGAATCTTCTTCCTCAATCGGAGCAACAACAGCATCAAGAAGAAATGACAGCTGGAGGGGGAGACACGCAGAGGGGCAGTGTGGACTCCCTGCAGCCACCATCCACTCCTTCAGCCTACTCGCCACTCACACTGACCGAGGCCAGTCTAGCACCCGGTCTCGTGTCTACACATCAAGACGTCTTTACTTTTGGACAGTTGGAACCAGCCGCTAACGGTGAGTTGCTCCTTTCTCCTCCTCTCCTTTGTCCATTTGTTACTCTGGGTTCTTCAAATTGTAGTGAAGACTACTATTTCTAGCGCGATGTGTTCTTGTACCTCCAATACAAACTTGGAGACAACTTTGCTCACTTTTGATATATTATAACGCTTATTTGCTTGACTTTCTGGACTAACGAGAAAAGCAAGAAGGAACGTGAATCACATTTCTACTCATGTATATTGCAAGTAGATCACTTAAGCAGTGTGTGATCAGTCTTTTGAGTTGATGGAACTACCGAATGTGATTTGCAGATCCTGCGGTCGTCTCCACGCCATGCCAACTTATCACCGCGGGTGCAGCAGTGTACGGCATCCTCTCCATCACCAGCACCTATTTCGCCTTCGAGACCGATCCCGGTCACGAGTTGAATCAAAAAATCGACCCTCAAGTCAGTTTCTCTCTATCCCTCTTGAGATTTTTAGTTAGTATGAATATCTTTTTTGGCTTGTTAGGTGTATTTTCTCTTTGAGCTTTTGCCAGCATCTGGTGTATCAGATAAGACTGGTGTTTTATCTGTTTTAAATCTACCATTTCATTTGACTGTAGTGGAGCTCAAACAAAAAGACCGTGAACCTTTGCAGGTACACTCTGAATTAATCTCTTAGCTTGTTTAAAGTTACCATTTCTCAAAAGTTCCTTTTAACTTACCCTCATTCCAACTACACTATTTAAGACTGTAATTTATCCTATGTTAATGTAGTTACGACCTAAATAAATTGCCGGAGAGGGGTAGTTCAATAACCAATTATGGTGTTCTTAATTGCCAACATATTTCTAGCATTGCTAAGTCGATCACCCTTGTACACCCTACAAAACTCTACCCCGGGTTATTGCATAAAATACCATGCCAACAAACCTTTCGCTCTACCCTTACCCCTGTTTTGGGATGATCACTTACGTCTTTGTCATTTCAACTTCGGTTAAATTGTTTTTAGACTACTTGACCGTTGTAACTGTGCAGATGAAGTTTTCAAACCTAACTTTTTTTCATGTATTTTGCCAAGAAAAAAGTGGTCACCATGCCTCGCCCATGCCCCCGGTCTCTGCGTAGATCCGCTTGACTGCTGAAATTTTTCACAGTGAAGTGTTAAAACACTCCCATATCAAAGTGTCGTAATTAACTTGCTTGTAGCTTCCCGAGCCCTCCTCAAAGACGAAAGAAGACACAATGATAGGATCGAAAGTGCATTGCTGACGTACAGCAGGATTGGGGGCTTTGACTACCGAATCCCAAGTCTCCGCGTACCTGAAATAATGAGTTAAGCAAATAATCAAGGCATTACATGTTCATCATGTTAAAAAATGAATGCATTGAGGTTCATTTTTAGAGTAAACGGCTTATTAATGATTTCACGCGTTTTTGAAAAGTGGGTTAGGTTTATTGTTAGGTTCGCGCGCAAACGGAACTCGATTGTATGACCTCTGCCTACGTTAAAATATCTCATAGCTTTAGTTATTTGATGAAGAATGCTTGTCACTGTTTTGAATATTCTAGGTACAACTTGGTGATCGGTAAAACTCCCACCCTATAAATGAGTTCGGCGTCTTTTTTAGCATGTCCGCAGTTGTTGACCTCCCAGCAAAACTTTTACTTTTACCCTGTAAAAGGTGTCCGTCCACTTTTTGTCGTTTCTGCGATATTTCAAATTCGAACATATTTGAACGGGATTTATATGAGCTGTCTTGTCTGTATTCGTCTCCCGCTTGCGCCCTTGCCTTTCAGTATCACAAATCGACTGGCACTTGCTTAATAAAAATAATTACCACTCGTCAAGTACCCTTATTCTGTCTCATAAATCGTGGTTGCATTTGTGGAGCTCTATTTGAATGAATCACTGAACAGCGACTTTTTTGCCAACTTGATCCCAAATTTTATTACCTGCTTAAGTTCTGACTTCCTCACTGTGTCGCAAGCAGTAGTCGATGTGGGTTTCGTTAGTTACTCTTTGTTTGACCTGTGCAATTTCACTTGATCGTGAAAAAATTTGCATATTATAGCGTTAGACTGAGGTTATTTTGAAGGGGTGCCGTTGTTGCGTCCCGAGCTTTTTTTGAAGAAGAAGGAAGACACAATACTAGAGCAGACTATGAATTTTCAGCGTGCAGTAGGGCTGAGGGTCTACTGGCATGGCTTGGAGGCCAGTCCATCTTGCGAAGGTCTAATCGCAGAGATCCAAAGTGTCCCTTTTGCCAAAATCGAGAGTTAGACAAACAATTAAAGCGCTACGACTATCATGATGAGATTTATTTTAAAATCTGGCGATCGATCTTGTGAAACATTTTTTGATGTAAATAGAGATTGCCCTCCCTCGTTTCCTTTACTTTAATAGAATAAGCTGTAGACGGAGAGGCAATACTACTGAATAGGCTTTTAAAACTCACCGACTGGTCAGCTAATAAACACTAATTTACTACTCACCTCCGAAAATTGTTACCGGAACGCATAATATAGTTTTTTAATGGTCTTTTTCGGCTGTCTATTAAAATCTTTTGTTTTTTTACTCTCAAGAAAGTAGGGAAAATTCTTCTCTCTTGCCGTAGATATTCAAACATTTGGAAATATTTGCAAACCGTCTTAGTTACTTCTATGAAAAAGTTTTACCAAGTAGTACCAAGTAGTGAGCTACTGCCGACTCAAACCCAAGTTTAAACTTTCTGTTTGGGTCCAGCATCTCTTTGCGTAAAAAATATCGCCGCAGACACACATCCCCGCCACTTCATTGAGTGGCTTTTTTAGCGAAAGTTTGCATTGAATTTGATCTGAGGTGGCTGCACCGCATTTCGTTCTTTTGTCGGTTTACAACTTTAAATTTGAGCAAATGAAAACGATGTTTATTGCAGAATTTGAAAATTTAGTGCTCGTATTATGGAATTTAATGCAGCGCCCCGAGACCTCCCTGAAGACGACAGAAAGCGTAATATTAAGGCAAAAGATAGGTATTGTCGACTTACAGAAGGGATTGGGGCTTCTGGCGTGTTTCGGACGCCAGTTCGCTCTGCAGAGGTACAATGGCGGAGCTTCTAAGAGTTCCAGTACCAAAACCGTGAATTAAACAAATAAGGTATTACGTAGCCTCCCTCTCTTTTTGAAATTCGTTTCTGACGCTCTCCTGTATCGCCCATCGCATCGTAGTTGGTGCTGTCGGGAAAAACACTCACAAATCAATCGTGTCAGTCACTGAATTCGAGTCTGACTGTCAAGTCACTAATCCTCTGTGGCAGTTTTACTGAATTTGGAGTTTCGTCCTGCCTGGGAACTGCACTGGGAAAAGCGGAAATGTACTGGTTATCTTGTGTGTCAATCGTTAGACGTGGAACACTGGCCAAAAGGTGGATTTATCTAAGTAGAGAAGGGTTTTAAAATATTTCTGTGGGGGTAAGATTTCGCATCTACTTATCTTGCTACTTTGGTCTAACTTCGGTGCTGCCCGGGTATATCCGTCTATCTAGGTTCTATCCACATAGTAGAGAGGTAGAGGAGGTATTGTGTGTTTACTCCATTGCCCCCTTCACACAGGTACCGTTGACAGCTTTGTAACAAACTTTTTAGGTGGTTCAAGGCCACGGCTAGTGTACCTCCAGTTGTTAATAGCATTCCCACAGACCACGGTACTGCGGCAATTGCCGTAGATGGACGTAACTTTCAACAATTCTGTTAGATTTCGCCACAAATCCTCCCATCCGCTGCCTGAGCACTTCTTTCGTCATGCTAACGTTTGCCACTCAGCACTAGAAATCAGAATATTTGCCCTTTAAAATCGAGTTCGATTTCCACTTCCACCAATGTAGTGCCTTGAGACTTCCCCGAACACGAAAGGGGACATAACCCCCGGGAAGAATATGCATTCTCGACGTACAGAAGGACTAGGGAGCTACTGGCATGGTCCGGCGGCCAGGTCGACCGGCGGAGGTACCACTAGCAGAGTCCTTAACTGCCGCCACAGCAAAACCGGGAGTTGAACAAACAATTAAAGTGTTACACTAATTCATTATGCGATCTGTTTCGGCTTCGTTGCATTTTATCGTGTTTTATTCGCACAAATGACTTTGCAGAGGGAAAACGTTTACCACCGCTTAAAATATAAAAAGATTTTAAACTATCCCAAATCCTTCCCCACTTGAGAGTTACAATTACCGTTTTACCACATAAACGCATTTACGTGATTCTGGGGTTGTTAAACAGACGTTCATTCTGTCGTGCTTGTAGGTCCTCGCCTACACCAAAAACCTCTACTCAAAGTGGCCGTTCAGTGAAATTCGTGCTGTCTTCACCCGAAGGCATCTGTTGCGCAACGTTGCATTGGAGATCTTCCTAACCACCCGATGTAAGTTCCCAATTTTGCTAAAGCTGAATCCCTTTTTCCTCCTTGGCAACTCACTCATCCTTTAATTGAAAATTTACTTAATCTTTGCATATTCGGTCAGTGCAAATCCAACGCCTAAGATTATGAATGGAGCATATTATATATATATATTATTACCTTGATCCCGAACCGTTTATCAAGAAACCAAAGGATTTCAGTGTACTTTGCGATCATTTACATAAATCGGTCCACCAGAACTTTTTTTGTGCTCTCTACTTTCCTGCTAGTGTAGATGCTCATGCCATCAAATGCTGACTAAACCTGCTAAATGTGGTCTGAGGGTGTCCGCTTTACGAGCCGAGTTTGGCTCGTTCCCAGAGTTACAGTAGCTTTCTGTACAATTTGCTGTGTGGCATTCGGGGAAGCTGTGGCATGTGGTAGTGAGGACACCAACCAGAAATGATTTACGTCTGTTTGAGTTTAGTGATGAATCGCCAGACGATAAAGTACCACCCACAGGATAATCCTCCCTTCTTTCTTTCTTTTGAACAATCACACGAAGACGTCTGCATCGATGTTGATCAGGGTAATGGTGGAGGAGGGTGTCAAGTGTCGTATTGACCGTTGTGGGTGACGAATCGAGTAGTTTACGCAACCCTTCAACTGGGAAGGCTCAACCATGCGCCATGCTAGGCAGATGTGTGTCCTCTACTTTCCGTAGCTCAGCGACAACTGAGAATAGGCTTGAAAGTCTAGCGATTTGTTCCTCGCTTTCTGCACGTTCGTAATGAAATTGCGCCGTGGGAGGAGGATTACTTGCTGACTGAAACGTGGTGGAAAATAATTATTGTACGCTTTGCAATGTTGATTGACCCAAACCATCTACTCACTACACTTTCCCCACTCCTAAAGCACTCACTCTTTCACTTCCACAAGACTGAATTTCGTGCATTTGGGAGTGGTGAGCTGCAGATGCCATGCTTGAGTATGCATCGTCCATTAGCTGCGCGCCAAACTACAGCTGATTAGGGTCTTGACCTCTCTCTGCCTACCCGACACACCTAGGCACAAATGGAACGTGTAGGAAAAAATCTCCTTCCTGAGAACCAGCTAGGATAGACAGGAATAGTCGACTTCTGAGTGGCAAGAAAGTGATAATCACATTCCTACAAGACCGCACAACGCATTTCAGGATCTCATTTCATCACAAAACTGATCCACTTCTTCCCCTCAACTTCCCTGATTGTACTGCTTCAAGTGGGAACTGTCACCTCTTGGCATTGGTATCGGATGATAAGTTGGAAATTAAAGAATTATAATGTCGCTGGAACGGCGATGAGTAGGCTTCTAGTCTCATAGGCAAAGCCTGTTATAAATGTGGAAATCGCAAATTTGTATTCCTTTGAAAAGTACTGTTTAAAGTTGTGCCCAGTCATTTAATAGTTACTAGTACAAAAACGGAGGGAGCTTGTCTGATCACACTACAGTTTCTTTGCGTCTCTGAGATCGACATTATTTTAAAAGTTAGAAGTATTTTACCCTTACAGTTTGCATTCAGAACAAACACCAATAAGGTAAATGGCTTTCTGTCTTGTTTTTCTGGCTTTCTAGGAGTTGACTACTGGATATGCGTGTCACAAGATAATTGTCACCGCCACTACTCATAATTCTGCCTCATTTGGATCCGAATACCGACTGTTGTTTCAGATATGCAACTCCAGTTCGTGGTGCGAATCAGATTCCCTTTAGCACATTGGGCTTCACAGCCTCAGTGGTGAAGCTGAACTTGACGGAACTTGAGGGAATTCCCTCATAGTTTTCGCTGAGTGTGCTTGATAAATATTGCTCTCATACACCCTAGGTCCCTCGGATCTGCAGACGCTTTCACAGTTTGAACACTATGCATGCCTCTTTTCTCATTTAACTTATGCTTTCCCTAGTAATGTGTTACAAATCGGTTCGCTATTACTAATATCTTCGCCAGTAACTGGGTTCCCAATTTACAATTTAGCTTCCTTGTGCGCGAGTTTCGAGGTCTTCAGCCCGAAAAGTGATGGATAAAGTTCACAAAGCGGTCGTCTTTATTGACCAACTTACTGTGGGCAGCATGTACGCATCTGGTGAGTGAAGAGCAGAGGCTGAGTCTGGGTCTGAGTAATCTCACTTACGTGCATCTGCAGGAATAGACAGCCATGACCTTCGAGAAGTTATTAGTACAGTTAGGGTGCACCTTTGCTCGAGACGGGCCGATTAGGCACAACTGGGTGGGAACACGACCCTCTAGAATGCTGGAAGATTCATGATCAATTGAAACTTCCAGGAAGTTGAAGGTCTCCTTTGACTTCCTAATCCAGTTGTTCAGTAGCATTTGGAAGTTAACTCCATTTTCGGAGTGTTTTAACGCCTAACCAAGGGGGGAGATCTGTTTTGAGGGCACCAGGGATATATTAATAAAGGGGAACTGAGCGATATTGGACGAATTTGTCAGTGAATGTGGGTGTACTTTCTCGAGGTTGATGGAGTGTTACACTCCTTTGTGATTTCTGCATTAATCCCAGAATTTCATTGTTTCCCGCTTGCTTGGTTTGAAATTGTCACCTTAAATGCTGCTTTTTAAAATACTCTAATAGTTATACCAAGTTGCACAAACTTTTTTGTAAATATTAGCTTTTCTTTTGGAAATATGGGGTGGTCATTTGTGTTTTTGTTCAAAAAAATTGTAGTACTCTTTAGACTGCCCTCTTCGTTAGGTTTCCATGATCCTAGCATCATCTAACTATCGCCGCCTCTTGTTCCACTTTTTCTGGTTCCTTCGAAAATTAACACTGGCTCCGGCCCATCTAGTTTAGATCTCTCCATCCAATACCCGTTACTTCCTTTGTAAGCACCTTCTTAAATGTGGCTTTTTAATTGTCTCAAAGGGATCGGTGCAATATTTTTGGTAATCTCGATGTTTTTCGCGGTGCTAAATTTCACATAGAAAGTACAAGAGGGTTGTGATTTCGACTCTACGGTGAATGCAACACTGTGAATCGAGCTATCGCTGTTTCTCGTTCCCATGATTAGGATTTGTCTAAATTGATCTTTTACTTTCACCGGAATTTGAAGGCTATTTAAATGATTCATCCGTCTGTCTATTTGAACTAAATTTCTTAGTCGACTCTTACCTAATTTATGTAGGATTTTCCACTTGTCGATGGCTCTTGCCTAACTAGTGCAAAAGAGTGCCTTGGAATGCTGCTTCTTGAGCTCTCTTGATGATAGCACCTAATCAGAAAATTGGCGTGCTGTTTTTAGTAGTCTTGGTTATGCTCACGCCGCCTTTCTATAGTTTCTAAATTACTTAAAGATACTCATGAAGTGCCTGATGACCATTCTATTCCACTTTAGCTGCATTCATTTGCATCAAAGGTGTTCTTTGAGTTACCTGGATGGCATCTCTGATTCGTAGTCACGATGATATTCATGTTGGCGATAAATTTTTACCCTTCCACCTCTTAACTCAGCTTCAGTATTGTTTGCGTTGCCGGACGAGTCAACAGTGCGTCGAGTGGTCTACGCCCTCCCACCAGTGGGCATCGGAGCGCGCTACGGCGTAACGCAGTCGCACCGAACGAGTCTGGCTACCGGGCGACAGCATCTCTCCCTCTCACAGGCCACGCAGCGATGGCAGCGTCGCGAAATGTCTAACTTCGACTACTTAATGTGCCTCAACACCTTGGCAGGGCGCAGCCTTAACGATTTAAACCAGTATCCTATCTTTCCCTGGGTTCTCACAAACTACACCGACTCCTACCTCGACCTGAACGAGCCGGCAAATTATCGTGATCTCTCGAAACCTGTGGGCGCACTCGACCCCGCCCGAAAGGCCTTCTTCGATGAGCGCTATGCGGATTGGGATGATCCCACTCAGCCTGCGTTCCACTATGGCACGCATTACTCCACCGCTGCGTTCGTGCTCAACTACCTCATCCGATTGGAACCATTCACTACTCTATTTCTCAATATGCAGGTGCAATTCGCTTTTATGTCCCTTTTCAATTCCTCTCTGGTTGCTTATAACTTACATTTCAGACGTCTTAGAGTTGCATTTTATTTTTGCAATTGTAGGCGGTTTGTTGTAACCGTAGGAAATGGGATAAAATTCCGTTAACAATTCTGTTTTCATCAAACAGGGTGGGAAGTTCGACCACCCCAACCGGATGTTCTACTCGGTGGAGGCGACATGGGCGGGATGCCTGCAGAGCAGCACGAACGTTAAGGAGCTCATCCCTGAGTTCTTCTACTTGCCGGAGATGTTCGAGAACACCAATGACTACGACTTCGGCGCTCTCGAGGATGGCACGAAACTCGGCGACGTCATTCTGCCCCCTTGGGCCACCAGTCCCGAGGAATTCGTCCGCATCCACCGACAGGTCCGTTCCGCATTGCCCAGTTTTCATTGACTGTCTCTCATTGATGCGTTCCGATCAGATCTCCTCGTTGGTTATTTGTTCAAATCAATCACTTTTAGTGTTCGTTGACCCGGTTGAGGTAAATCCACCCTCTCCTTGGTTGTTTCCTCTCTACTTCAAGCGTCCAATATTGCAGCCTATTCATGCAATTTCCTAATGTCGACTTTGACTTGAAATGTTTTGTGTCCTTGTTTCATTTTTTTTTCAATCTGACTTCCTACTGACTATTTGACGCAGTTATTATCTCAACTATGCCTAGTTCTCTCCTTTCTTTTTCCACCATCAGTTCACATTTATTTTAGCTTATTCCTCTATTACATGAAATGGACCGTTCCATTGTTTAGTTCCTTGCTATTCCAATCCTTTACTCTCTTGCTGGAGCCCATGAGTCTAACTGGGTTGTTCATTCATTACAAATGCTCAGTGTGTGGCTTAGCATTACTTTTGTTTTTAAAATCTATCTTTCCTTGTTGCCCATCTACCATTTTTATGCCTTCCCATGCGTCGCCGACCGATTCTTTGACTCGCTCAAGTCAAATCTGCTGTATCTTTCTTGATGCAACTTAATTTTATGTACTATGAAGTGTTTTCCCGATCTTGGTATATATTCTCTTTCTCTGTGTATTGTCTTCGAATCCATATGCCCTCGCCGCATTTTTTCGCTATTCTGTGTCTCCAGGTCTCAGAAGGGTGTATAATTGGCTGTTTACCATGTAACGCCCCTTGATTTCCCTGAAGACGAAAGAGGACGTAATACTAGGGCAGAATATATATTTTCTAGCGTCCAGAATGGCTTGGAACTACTGGTATGGCCTGGAGGCCAACCTACTCGGCGAAGGCATGATGGGGGAGCCTCTAAGTGGCTTGTTACCAAAACTGAAAGTTAAACAAACAATTAAAGTATTACATACCCCTCGCCTCTTTTAAGCGTCATCTTCGGCGCTTCCCTCGGTCAACGTTCAGCGTCGATCATCAAGACGTAGCCGGTGCTGTAAGGAAACTACACCAATTACACCACTCATTAAATTTTCTTTGCAGCTAGAAAGGTAATTGACTGCAACGTCACTGATCCCTCCTGGCAATTTTACTGGATCTAGAGCTGCGTCCTATCTGGGCGCTGTATTTTGGGAGAAGTGGAAATGTGCAGGCCATCACGTATGTCCATCATTAGTCGTAAGAATACCGACCCAAAGGTAGTCATTTGATAAAGGACGGCGTGTAAAATAGTTGCTGCTGTTCTTACTTCAGTGGTACTCATCCATATTTGTCTATCTGTATTTCGTCCAGCTAGTAGGGATGTGGTGGATGGACCGTGTGTTCACTTCATTGACATCTTCATATATGTACCGTCGACAGTTCCGTAACAAACTGTTTTAGCTGGTTCACGGCCACGGCTAGTGTAGCTTCAGTTGTTAATACAATTTCTACAGACCACAGGACTGGAATGGTTGCCATAGGTAGAAGTTACTCTTAACCATTCTGTTAGAAGTCGTCACAGATTCTCTTATCCGCACCATAAGCACCTCTTCCGCTCTAGGGTTTGGCATTCAGTAATCGAAATCAGGATAGTTGTCCACTTCAGCTTTTCAAAACTTCCCTGAAGACGGAAGAAGTCATAATGCTAGGACAGAATATGCATTGTCGAAGTACAGAAGTGATTTGAAGTTGCCGACATGGCCGAGAGGCCAGTCTGCCTGACGGGGGTACAATAGCGGAGCCCCCAAGTGTCCCATTACCAAAACAGGCAGTTGGACAGACAATTAGCTCACTAAAACTATAGTTTGTATTAAATTCTCAATGAGTCCTTGAATTTTCGCATCCTTTAATGATATTAGTGTCCTTAAAAGCTGTCTAATCTTTTACCCTGTGCGTCAGCTCACTGTCTTTTTACCTTTATTTTCTACCTTCCATAGAATGCTTTGCGGCTTCAGAGCTTCTTCTTCTGTTGCCGTAAAGCTTGCAAGCCTGAGATTAAGCGTATTATAAACGTAGAAAAGGGTTGAAAGACTGATTAAATACAAAACGTGAGTCATGGATGCCGATTTTCGGGAGACTGGAGAGACCCCCTTTCATTATTAAGGGTAATATCATTCTGGCTTCAGTGAATATTCGTTCCTCATTGGGACTATCTCTATCTGTGGACATCGAATCACCTTTCTTGCTTAATTGGTCGTGTAATCACCTTCATTTCCTGACATTGATGGTGGAGGCTCGTGTTTTCCACTTCCCTCGCATCTGGCACCTTTAATCTTCTCAAGCGTCTCCTTTTCCAATCCCCTTATTGAATTCATTCACAAAGGAAGTGGAAAGTCGTTGATTATCCTTTAGTTATATCTTTGGTACTTACTCACATCAAGATATGTTCTTGACTAGGAAAAAACCTTTAATTTACTGTTAGAAAGAGAGTTTTGACTTGTGATATTTCTTTTTCAAATCTTGGAAATTTCAGACTAGAGTAGCGCTTTGTTTTTCAAGTCGAAGCTCATGAAATCCAGATATTTTCATTTAAAATGTGGACTTGAGATCCTTAATTCATATCTATGACTTTGTTAGGCTTAGTTCCCCGTCTTTTGTGGTCGTTAGTCTCAGCACGATTACACTTCACTGAAAAGCGATGCTCTTCCCCTCCCGCTGCAGTTAATGCACATTTTCTGCATGGAATTCAAAATATCCTCATGACCGTTGTTGTGTCCTATTTTTCCCATTTTCTAGTCTTACTTCCTTGTCCTCCATTCTTCACTGCTGCATTTTGTGGTCCACTCTAAATTGATTCTTTACGTTTTGTATTAGCAAATATCCGGGGTTATCGGTTCCAACTTTGACTCATCTGAATTTGTTGATGTACGATTATCCGATAGCAGAAGTTTCGCCTTCCTGAACCTCCTTCCGTCTCATTGATAGTTGTCGCTCCTCTGTGATTATGCACCCAAGTTTATTCGAAAATTGACGTGTTTTGAATTTTCTTTTCAACCAAATCCAAAATCTCAACTCATTATGGCCTTATTTTCTTTGCTCTTCTTTCCCTCGCTTCAACTCATGTCCCTTATTAGTCGTTCACTGACGGTTATTCATCTCTCAACTTCAATGCGCGCTCCACGCGTAATGGTGAGCCTCTGACTTTTCAGCGCCTCAGTCAAGCCGGCTTTTTCCGGCTAGTCTCACTTTAAACCTTAAAATTGGAAATAAAAATTAAAACCTTAACACCTAGCTCCCCTTTCAAACAGTTTAATCTGTGTAAGGTTATTTTCATTTCGTGGGGAAATGAGCCACACCTTTTTCCGGTCCAACGTAAAATTACATTTATCAGTGGATAATATATTGAATGTCAGACTGACTGTGGTTTGTTGAAACATTTGGGACTTATACCTAGACATGACTTTTTATACAGTTTGCATGGCTTCCAAATTGTCGCTACGGTTTTTCAAATATCCCATTCCTCTTATTGCTTCAGAAATGTTTTTTTGAAGCCGAATGGGTGTTATCGGTATGATTGGGACCGCAAGTCTCCGGTAGTGTAGAGACCATAAAGTAATGGACAGAGAATGTTAAATAAAATTTTTAATACTATTACAAAGTAGCTATTAGGTTGCACTTCATCACACATTCCGCACTCATGCCACTTCTACACCATACATTTCTTTATTTGTTCTATTATCTCATGGTAAAAGCTGATGACATGTATGGTTTGTTTAAAAGCGGCTTTCAGTATGCTTTAATTTGGCTTTTTTCTTTTCCCTCCCTTAGGCACTAGAATCGGAGCTTGTGTCATGTCAGCTACACCATTGGATCGACCTAATCTTCGGCTACAAGCAGCGTGGTCAGGAAGCGGTGAAAGCCACCAATGTTTTCCACTATCTCACCTATGAGGACAGTGTCAATTGGGATAAGGTAGGTTCGCTTTTCGTGCGCAATTTGCAACTCCTCCCCATCCTACGTTCCATGCTCTTATTATTTGACTATGCGAAAAACAACCTTGATCTAACCGTAGTATAAAAAAGTGGTTTGAAATTGCTTTTTTATTTTAGAACTACCTCACCTATCATCTCGAATCATTCGTTTTTGTCTTGAACTATTGCTGTCCTCTCTATTCATACTTTTACGATGCCATTCGATTCTAAAGTCACGGGATAGGCGACGGAACTTCGTGTAAAGTGTTAACAAAAGCCTTGAGCTATCTAAAATGGCTGGTAGGTGGCTTTATTCTGCCAGCAATTCACCGGGATAGAAATTAGGACTAAATGTAAAATAATGCTAGTAATTGTCTGATGGGACTTCAGAAAAGCGTTCGCTATGTCGAAATGCCCAATTCTGTTTTTTGATTGGAGCTTCACGGTCATTGGTTTTCTCTACACCAATCAGAAATTTGCATTGCCACGCGTTTTGGTCAATGCCTGCTTGGTTGTGAAGTTCGTAAAAGCAGTCCCGTCCCTTCGAAAATTGCGTCCTCAATAAAAGTTGTTCAGGTTCTTGAGATGCCTCACCCCATAAACACAAGCTTTCGTTTATTACCAGATCTAATTATTTGTATTTTTTAAGACGTGTTTCCCATTTGCCTGATACTCCGCTTACATCTGTCCGCAAACTTTTTTCCACTTTTTTTAGTCCAATTCATCGCGTCGTTCTTGCTAGTTTTTACTACTCTTGAATAGTGTAGAGGAATCTCCAAGTCACTTGGAAGCTCATTATTCTACGGGAAGCCAGGATAAATCTACCCTAGTCTCCCTGTTTCCGTCTTTTACCTTCCAACAAATTGTTCACTACACTTCCCGTGTCCGTTTCGTGCATCTAATGCCGCGAAAATATAGTAATGGTTGCTTGGAGAAAGGTTCTTGATGGAATACGTAGAATGAAGTGAGCCAGCATCACCCTCTTATTTCATCCCGAAGCATGGTTTGAGGTCCTTTCACGGATCAATTTTAGTGTTATGGGGTGTGAAGAATTAGCTGATTAAATGATCCTCGCTATCCTGGCCGTTTCTTAAGGAAAAACTATCCTTGCACATTTTTCGGTGGTGTAGAATTGTATCTAGCAGTGTTGAGTGCGTAGGACGGATCTCAACCCTATTTTTGATTTGACCTGCGGGTGAAAAGTCGTGGTGAACGATTGCGCCTGCGGTCAATCACACACAAACGTTGACCTTAGTCTGGTGTTGACGAAATGGTGCATACTTCAGGATTGTGGGGGGGGAATGGGGTATCGAATGAGTCATTTGGGATTAACTGGTGATACGTTCTTTCGCTTAACCAACGTTGAAATACATTTAGAAGTCATTTTTAGCACAAATCAATTGGCTTGGTAGCCAGTGTGGGTAGCCTTTCAAAATTGCTTTCCTCTCTTAGTACACGTGCTTATCTTCTATCACAGCTTTCCCTTCTCAGCTGTTTTATCATCGATCATGGTAAACCTAGCTTATTGTTGTCCTTGACACCCTAGCCTTCATCTCCATTTTCAACAATGACATGCAATTCTTCCTCTATTAGCAAAGATAGATGCCCCTGAACTGGATGAGCCCATCTATTTTCGAGCAATTCATCATCAAAGCCAAAGTGCTTAAATCATTTCTGGGAGGTACTTCGTGCTACTGTGTACCGCACCTTCGGCGAAAAAGCGGTACCAAAAGCCCCCCCCCCCCCCAATCCTTTGGAATCGAGTCAAACTCGATTTGTAAGGTAGACAACCACGGACCACGCCCTCCCGATTCAACCGACATTTGATGGTATGAGAGTTTGAGGTGGCAGGAAAACAGTTGCAAGCTCAGTAAAGGTTAGCGCGCCCGTAGAATGACGCCTTTTACTGCTTGCTGACTAAACAGTCACGTGGATTTCACAGGCCTCCTGCGAGTCACGAGGAGCCATTTTAGTGAACCACACGAATTTCCTTGCTTGATTTATGCCGTTATTTTTCGTTTTCATTTTTTCATTCAGACCGTTTCTAGATTCCCAACCCCAATCATGAAATACTTAATTTTATCGCAATGTTGTATTCAAGGGGACCCTACCAACTACTACTGTCGGCCTCTACTAGAAACGTCCTGCTGCATCTACCAACAGCGAAACAAAATCATTCTTAATGGAATGTTTGTACAAAATGTCTAGTCCAAATGATGTATAGCGATCAGGCTCGTATTTCAAACGACTGTGTTACGTGCTTTCATAGACAGCATGCAGACTTGTTTCCATTTCCTGTCACACTTTTAACTTTTCTTGAGCTCTTTTATGCTCGATGATTGAACTTTCTCGCCGAGCATGTCTCTCACTTGGCACTCACCAGGTTTGGGTTTAGTTTGGAAAAGATATGACTTAGTGGGCATTTTTGAAAACTCCTGTTTCGGTATCGATGCACACATTTCAGATTGTCAAAATTGATGAAATTTCTGCACTTTGCAGTGGTGGGTTATATTCGTTCATCCTCGTGGTACCAAGTAACAGGGCAACAAGTACTGCGTCAGCCCCGCGTCTTTTTTTTTCCTGCGTTTACTATCTTTACGTCGTTATGTTTCTCTACGACAGAAACAAGTTTTGTCGATAAAATGCATACCTCTCTCCTTCTGGTGGGGAGATAAAATTGCTCATGAGGAAGTGGAGTGCAGACTTCACAGATGTTGGGACCTGCTGCTACACACAAACGTCAAATTACTGCTTCAGTGAGGAGCTGTTCTTATGCCAAGAACTAGAACTTCCTCTGAACTTTAGAATGTGTACTAGTTGGAAAGTAGCACCATCACCTGATAGACTGCACTTGATGACCTGAGAGATTAGTAGCATCGGTGGCGTGGAGGTCGATCCGCTGGAGACGAAGAGGGTTCGTGAATTAAATTCGCTAATGGAGCTGGTTCCCTCTTTATTGTAACCCGCGCGTGTTAGCTGCCATAAAAGCAGTTGTCCACTGTCACTTGTTATAACCTGGTGTTATGTGTGAGTCACCCGGATCCTATCGAGGCCACTAACCAGATGAGCAACTTCAAAGTATGCCTAGGGGGTTATAGTCAGTGCGTTCATGCATAATGGCTGCGTGAGTGTGAGTCTGTGTGTCAGTATTAATTTACTCGTATTTAGCCCTAATAACTATGGTTATCAGCACAGTTGGAGCACGCATTTGCTGGGCACGACCAGTCAGGCAGAACTGAGCGAGATCACGATTCGCTAGGATGTTTGCAGATTAGCAATCAAGCGGAACTTCTAAAAGTCGAGTAGGCACATATTTCTAGAGTGGCAGGCATCTTCAGCACCTCCCTTCACCCGATCGACTAGCGATAGTTGCGTTCAGCCCCTATGTCTATCGGACCGCCAATCTAGACCTTTTCCTCCATAGTGCTCTGTGAAGCAAGGTCCACAAGTGGCAAAGGTATCTGTACTGCGTTGAGCTGCTAGTTCCTCGTCTCATTGTGGACGCAGTTGGTTGTGATGCCTCACCCAGGTGTCGTTCCCGTCCTTGACGTTGAATTTAACTTCACCGTACTCACATAAATTTATTCCTGCCGATAATTGCGGGTGTACGCATCAGTGTCTGTCGTGAGCCTCGTTGGGGCTTCCCGTGCATACTTCTTGGAACGGTTGTGTAACCATTGCCGCGTTGACCAAGCAAAGCTTGCGTCTCTTCGGCACTTCGGCTGATGATTGGAGGCTTTGCACAGAATAATTTGTTGTCCGATGTGTCAGTAAACCTTTAAAAGACATCGGCAGTTCCCTCTTCTGGTAACTTAACTAGTGCTTGCTTGATTGTGTCAACGGCCTCTTCACTTGTCCATTGGATTTGAATGAAATGTCGGAGATTGAATACGCGTAATAGCATGTGGACAGCAAAAGCCATGAGACTCCCGTGAAGTTAACTGCGTTCCGTTGTCAGTGCCCATCGTCTCCTCAATCTTGCGTTGACTGAATATTTGGGACTGCACTGGTAACACCTTGGTGGTCGTTGGAGGGACCACAGATGATATTTTTGATTACTTTTAATCAGCATCGAATAAAACGCGGTAAGAGATGTCATCAATGGATCAGGCGACATTGCAGCGGAGTTGTGAATAGGGCTTCTCGGACTGGGGCCATGGTATTCATGGGAACCTCTGCCGCTTGTCGGACTTTGAGAGTGATCCTCGGACGTGTCCGAGCAGCATGACCAAATCGGAAGTTTAAGAAAACCTTTCTGACATTTTCCACTGGCTGCTCGGAAGATATGTCATTGGTATGCATCTGAGCGTGGATGGCCTTGACCGTTAGCTCCTCTAGACTCAGTTTGTTAAATCACTCAAGACCAAGTAGGCTGGGACTGACCTTCGCGAACCGCGAATGAAATGTAGCATTGTTTTCGGGATCATAGTGGAACTCCACCATGCCAATTGCAACCCTGTCTGTTGACAATGTGGCTACTGCAAGAGGCTAATCGAACGGAGTCGAAACCTTCGTCTTTGTTCATAATCACATTAGCTTTAATTCCCGCTCGAAAATTAGTTAAAGCCTTGCCATATCTGTGGTATGACTTCTGCGCTTTGAATGATTTTAGTTACGTACGTTGATAGTAACTGATTAGCCCTGGGCTTCAAGTGGTTACCAATGCGGGGAGAGTACACTACTGCTGGGCATGGGTAGTCAACCATAGCTGGGCGGGAGCACGAATCTCTAGAATGTTTGGCGATTAGCAGCCGATTAGAAGTCTTCAAAAATCGAACAAAGGCGCATTTTTTGGGGTTTCACGGGATATTACTCCAAATGAGTGGTGCGAGCAGATCTCTGTGCCACTGACGTAAAGATTGACTCGCGATACATTGAAAAGGAATCTCATTTGAATAACGAACCCTTTTTGCGTAGGTCACCGATCCGGTACTGCGAGAGGCATTGGAGGGTCAGATTACATGTTTCGGCCAGACACCAAGTCAGCTGCTGACAACACCCCATCCTCCACGGGGTTCCGCACTCGCCGCCTGCCCTCGCCTCTTTGCCCCGCCCGTTCACGAGGTCACCGCCCGTTTACGTCCGGCGTCGCACGCGTCCATCCTCGGCCTCTTCTTCGTATCCAGCCCTCACCACGGCGTCGGTGCTGATGTCTCCCTTCTTGCTGTCTCTACCAATTGTGTCTTCACTGTTAACAAGTGGAATAAGGCTGCGGCAGCTGCTGCTGCGGATTCTGGTGAGCTTACCGCTTTATTTTTGCTTCTCTCGGCATAGTTTGAGGATTTAAGACCGACCCTGTGTCGATGCTCATCTCCCCGATGACTTGAGGTGAGTTGCCTTAAAAGCTATTAATTTCAGTTCCTCTTTTCTTTCTAGATTCTGTTCGGCGCAAAAGTAAGTACTTTATCTTTTTATTTGAGTTACTCTTCATATTACAAAACTGGACCGTTTTTTTGCTTTCCAAATCACGTTTGCGATTCATAGTAGGTGTTCATCACCCTTTCCCTTTGATCACTTGTAGTTTTCAAGGCAACTTCCCCAACTCCAATGTCGGTGGAGTCGAGTGAGACCTCCTCAAAGTCACAGGAGCCACCGCCGCCGTACTCACCACTGACCTCAAATCTTCCTTCTTCCGCCACCTTGCCCGTCATTTCGGCGGAGAGTCAAGTCACTCCACTCCTCACGCTCGATCCCACACCCCTTGGTAAGTTTTCGTCGCTCGACTTTCCGGTTCGTCTCTTCTACGGTGAATAATTACGCGAACTAGCTATCCACAGTAGACTTTTGGCTTGCTTCAATATGTGATGCTCTTCGAATATTGAAGTGTTATTTTACCCTAGTATACGTAGATGCTCTTTTTATCTTCGTTACCTTGCCTAGTAGTCCCATCGCTATCTTACTACAATCCACGTCGACAGTTGTTGTTGTAAAGCAGCGCAGTTTGATCGTTTGGTTTTTTATTCAAGTCGGAGGTGAATGCTTCAGTGAATCATTGCTCCATGGGTGGCAGTAGACGTGCTTCAAAATAAATTATTGGCAGCTTACACTTTCACAGCCATTTGGATACGCCAAATAAGAGGCCTTACACGCCGTCAGTTGGCTCGTAAAATGGCTGACTTCTTTGAAATCTGTTCAAGCATCTTATTTTGTTTGCCTTTCCTCGCAGCACCGAACCCATCAGGAAATCGGCGCTATATTGGCGAGAACATGGATCCTTCAATTCGCCTCACTGCGAACAACTTTGTGGTGACCGGTGACGGTCGTGCCATCGTCGCATGTGGCTACTTCGACTACTCCTTCCGCATCTTCTCTGTCGACTCAGGTAGGAGAACTCTGTTCTTTCCCTCCCTTTTCTGTCCCTGCCTGTCTATCATACAATTCTGGAGGTGGTTCAGTTTATTGGCATGCAAGGGATCTAAAGACCTAGTAGCTAGGGTGGCATAAGTGGAACCACATGCTGCTAGCGTAGGAGGTTGAAAGGCACCACACAGTCGCATACACAACTGAGACTTGCATTTTGGTAAAGCAGCTTCGTGGAGATACGTTTCACGGTATTTACTCTTTTTACTATGTTCCCATTCCAGTGTTATCTGGCAACCTATCTGAGCTGTCCTCAGTATCTGGCATCAAGTATCTAAATCATACCAATCGTTCACATTAGAATCCTTTCTTCCATTACGTCCTGGTGTAATCTGCAGCCGGCGTAGTCAATATTAATGCTCCTTCGAAGGGGGTTTACCAGCTCTTTGTTCAACGTAGCGCCCGAATAGTCTCTAGTGGCTCTATAAGGGTTTACTAGTTTGACAATTGTTCCATTTGAAACGAGGAGAGAAGCTGCGAAACTAACATAAAGATCGTTTAAGTTCAATAGGGAGCTTTGTGTTCAGAAAGATAGTTGAAAATTTTAAGAAATGCAAGCTCCATTTTATCTAACACAGTTTACACACTTAGCTCCTAGTGTTCCATCACTTTGCTCCGCCGAAAGTCTTCGCTATTAGTAGATGTCTTCGGGTTTTACGCCTTTGTTCCCAAGTAAATCTGCTCAGTATCGTCACGGGGCTATCTCTGCAGCATGCAGACCAAAACGCTGGAGACTAAAGACGTACCTCGTCAAAAGTGGAATTGAAACAAGTATTGCTTTGCGACAAATCTCAGGTCGGTGCGTGCAGAGCGTGTGCGGTCACCAGGACGTAGTCACATGTCTCGGCCATTCGGAATCTACCGCCATCGGACACTGTTACCTCGCATCTGGAGGTCGCGACGGTCTCGTCTGTCTCTGGATCTTCGACACCAAATCCCTTTGTCTCTTCTCCGAGCACTGTAGGTCCCATGTCTTTTTATCCACTTGTTTAACTATTTGACCATCCGTATCTGCTTCTAATCTCTCTGTCTGTCTGGGTCAATCTACCAACATTCCATTTTTATCTATCCCCAGTCTTCCATTCATCTCTCCATTCGTTTACCCCCCCATTTATCTCTTCATTCTATCTTTCTCCCTGTCTACACGATTTATCTCTGTCCGTCTGTGCTTCCCCTTTTTCTACATCGTTTCCGTATCTTCCTTTGCTGAATTAAATTATTTGACTTTCTAGATTATATACAGGAATTCGATCACGAGTTCATTTGATTCATGCAGATGGTTGCTTAAATTATCAGCATCGCTATTCCATCTGTCTGCCTTTATCTCTATTTCCTATTTCTATCGACCTATCTGCCAACTTTTATTCCTAGCTTCTTATTTTTGTTTCTTGAGTTCTTCTCTTTGCACTCTCTTCACATAGCGTCCTTCACTATGGCCTCTCTGTTCTGTTCTGCCTCCACAACACAAGTAATGACCAACTTTTTTAGTTCAGCTCTCCCACTATGAGGTTCTGACTCGCCGCACAGAAAATCATCGAAAAAAATGAATCTGATGTCCAATTTTGTCATAATGACTGAACGTGCTGCTCTTATAGCCGGAGCGATACCAATGCCCCATGTGACCCTCGTTGGACACCAGAATGCGCTGCAGTGCATCGCAATTTCAGCTGAACTCGGTCTGGTATTCAGTGGCTCTGAAGGCAAGTCAATCTTAAGCGGGACTCTAGCTTTCTACCAATCACTTTTTTAATTCAATTTAACTGGTTTGACAGCTTGAAGGAACTCAGTTCCATCTAACGTAGCACAATACCCTACAGTACTATGGTTGCCTATTCCCCCAACATTTGCCAGTATTGATTCGTCTGCCTCGATATCGAACAAAAGCTTAAGGTTTGAGATTGCATGTTCTTCAACGATGGTACTGTTACTCACCGTCCTCACAAAATGGAAATGCGTCTCACGTAAACTTTCGTTACTGCACAGGTTATGCGTTAGTCAGGCGTCCAGGCGCACCAAGAGCTGGCTGAATGCTCGCAGGAGTTAGTATTGAGGCTGAGGACTGGAACCGGAGCCATCCCGACCTGGATTGTTACTGATAAACCTTGCCGATCATCTTTGGAGCGTTTATACCCTTACTACTACGGCTACGACAGTCAATGAACTTTGTAATCTGAGCGGTCTATCAGAAATGCAGTTCCATATGCCCTGTCCTCAGTCAGCATAATAGCTCCTTTCTCAAATAGATTCTCGATTTTTCGTTTCCAAGTCGCAAATAAGTACTACAAAACGTACCTCACCATATTTTATACGGTGTCATGAAAATTAGCCTCATATGGCCTTATTCCGTGATTAGAATGAAATATCTGTTGCATTGCGCAGGGCGCGGAACGAGCGGATGTGAGCTCACACTCTTTGATCACAAAAATCTGAAATCCGAGCGAAATGAGTGACGTGGCGTATGTGTTGGTTTTAGGAGGCGCCTGCCTACTGCACACCACGCAGGGTGAGCTGTTGCGTCGTTTTGAAGCGCCACAAACGGCAGCAGACCGACTGCGCCCCTGTGCTGTCTTTGCTGGAGCCGCCGACGCTGCTGCTGCTGTCGCTGCCGCATCGCCGACACGCCTCGTGGTGACGCGACACGGTTACGTAGTCTTCCAACTCGGCGCTACCAAACTTGCCGTCTTCACGCTCAACGCGCGTCTCGTCGCTGCCACTGATCTCCATCGACAGGCACGGCTCTAATACCCCTTTCTACCAACTTCACTCTCTCGTTTAGATCATTCACTCATTTTTTCCCATACTTTTTGGGAGTCAATGTTAAATTGCCTGTGCAACGGGTTCGACGGCACCTCATATGAAGGGGGTAGTTTTGGCATAGTGCGAACGGGCATTTTTCGATGAAGTTCAATTTTTAATTTGGCTGCGCTTGTCATGTTCGTAGATTCAGAGCGGAGTCATTGAAGAACAGAGTAGCACCACCACCGTCTCTCATTCCCCCCCTTCCGCTCCCATTCCCTCCTCTTCTTCCTCCTCCAACGGTTCCCCACTGGCGGTGTCACAGGCACGGGCGCAGTTACAGTCGAAAGCGGAAGGGGAGGGCTACGCGGTCAGTGCGCTAGCGGTGACTCGATGTGCGCACTTCCTCCTCGCCGCTGGCAATGACGGCATCGTCTCCATCCTCCACCTCCACTCTCTCCGACTTCTCCACTGTTTGCCCCGCTGCAAAGCACCCATCACTGCACTTGATATCAGCCCCGATCACAGGTGAGTTCACACCCCGTATTTTATGTAGAGACTGGTTTTGGAAACTTTTAGATGCGTTCTCCCGCCTTTGACGTGATTCTTAGGGAGTTTTTACTGTGGAGTTGAGTATGTTCAATGTACTCGATGGTCTTGTGCTATATTATCCATGGCGCTTTTATGAACACCGATCGGCAGATTATAGCCGGAAAGCTTAGTGTTGGAGACGATGTTCCGCCTGAGGTTGCCTGAACCCTCAGAAGAAGTTTCAGCTTTTGGATTCTAGAATTTTCAACAACGTCCTCTGAGACATTCCACAAGTGGTACTTCCTCTAAGTAGCCAATAATTTGGTGGTTGTAATTTAAAGGTGCTAATAATATACACGGTAAAACCATTGCCATTTGAACTAGCATAAACAGCCAGGGATGGCACCGACCCGTGACTCAGTATTCCAGCCAACAGACACGAGCGCGGATACCGTGCTCGTGTTATACGCGCGTTATCGCCTTTACAGATTTCGGTTTCCGTAAGTCTAATTCATTGATTGCTCTGGTTGGAGTCTTGATAGCATCCGTACCCGCGAACATAACACCAGGACATAGCATCTACAATAGCACTGGAGCGCCGTAATAGCGCGCTTCTGTTTAGAAGCGGTTGGAAATGCCTCATCTCCCTGTTATAGACTGATGTTTATGTGTGCGAACTTGGACCTTCCCTAGTTTCTAATCCTGAGCGATCAGGAGGCAAGGCCTTCATTACGGACGTCTTGGTTTGCCGACACGTGTAAGCAAGCAGGGGGTACGGCATTTGCTCACCTGACTGCTAGCTGGCTCGTGAGGCCACAGGGCTGCACCACTCTCACGTATTAAAATCTCTCTGTGCGTGCTGTTGGCCAGTGAAGGGAAGTGAAGGGGACCGCCAGTTTCAAGGTGTTTTAGAATGTGTGAAACATGCCACGAAAACGAAAACTTCTAGAGAGAATCGAAACAGCAACGTTTTTAGGGATTGCGGACATCTCCAGCACTTCCAGTAGTGCCTATCCCCGAAATACTAAAGCTGACGATGGGAAGGCAGAAAGAGGCATAGGGAAGCGTGAAGTTGCTGCAAACTAAGTTCTCGTCCGTTCTATCGAACCCTCTCTATTAGAAGCATTTGATAGGCCTCTTTGACAGTGCATATGTTGGAACCCAATTCCAATGGTGTATCTAAATTCGAAGCAAGGCGTCCGTTGTAACTAGTTCTGAGCGTCTTCAAGTTGCCTTTCTTCGCTTTTATTGATTGCCTCCATGCATTTCTGAAGTAAAATCTTATAAGTACGAATTTAATGATCAAACTTGGTACTTTTTGTGAACCCAACCAATTTAGAAACAGTTTTCTCTCATAGTGATACCATTCAAGCACCATAGGGGTCTGAGCATCTTCTTATTAGGTTCTTATCACAGAGGCTTGTATGATACTATATTAGTTGTCCGAAAGAGACTTTTCAGTGGCGAATCTCTTCACTTTTGAAGTCCCTGGAAGTTCCAGGGTCGGCGGTTGGCTCAACCATCATGGCAATCAAACACCATCCCTAATAATAGTCCTTAGAAATCCCTCTCCATGAGTAGAGTTAATCTTGCGCTTGGGGACTAAGAGGCTTACTGATTGATAAAAGGTTGAATTAAATTTGTCCCTTGTTTTGAAATTTCTCAGTGTTCTTTCTAGAAAGGAAATTGAGGAATTCCTTAGGTGGAGTCTTGAAGGTACCCAGATTGATGGCTGGTTTTGTTGATAATGGATTTGTACCCCTAAATCGGCTTCTTATGGGGTATTTGCGGGTACCAGTGACTCGAAAACCTCCACTGGCAAAAAAGACCTTCCAACACCTTTTAAATAGCACGTTTCAGAGCCGTTGACCTTAACTTAGTTTTCTGGTACTAAGTGAAGGATAAGACCTGGTTTTATCCACTCACCACCCCCAGATTCATTGTGGTTGGTCTTGCGAATGGTGGCCTCGTGGTGTTCAACGTGAACTTCAATCGGTGGAGGGAGGAGATTCAGGGAGGAAAACCAAAGCAGCAGCAGCAGCAATCACGCCAGGATCAGGATGATCAACAGCAGCACACCACCCGCTCCTACCCTCCCCAACCTGCAAACAGTAACACCACCACCAGCACCACAAAAACTGAAGAGCGGGAGGGGGCACAGGACGAGGAACAGCTACCAGTAACCCCCGAGTCCGCGGCCACTACTGCCACCTGATTTTGTATGCCACCACCCCTCCCTTTTTGTCCATTCTATATCTCCATCCGCCTCCTCTGTCTTGTCTCATTCCATACTTTTCTGTTCTCTTCTACCTGTGTGTTTTAACATCATGTTTTCAGACATTCCACTAACGAACTCAATCAAGTGAAAGGAAAACTTGACACTTCTCTTGTTGAGGGAGGGAGAAAAAGATTAAATACATTATATTTCACAGGGAGGGAGGGGAGAGGAGGTTATTGCACGTAAACACATAGGAGGGGGAGGAGCAAGGATTACGGGGGAGGCCTAGTCATCGTCATCTTCATCGACAGTCGCGCCATGAGTTCCCTCCGCCCTTACGTCTTCATCAACGACACCAGATTCGCCTTTATGAGCACTATCGCTGACTACATAGGCAACTGAGAAGGCGTTCGGCGCCTGACGCTGGTTGTGATGGTGGTTTGATGTCGGCGTCGTCCCGACTTCCTCTCCACTCCCCGCCTCCACACCTTCGTTTTGTGCAGTTGGGTGGGCTGCACTGTCGTCCTCCTCCATCTTCTCTATTGCCCCCTTCTCCAGTTCTTCATAATCTGCCTCTTCGTCTGAAAGAAAACGGTGCATTCTGTAGCCTCACTTCTTCCCTCAAGAGTCCAATTCTAATCAAAGCCTGTGGAAAAGAACGTCTCTCCTGAAGACTGCAACTGAATTAAAGTAGGATCAAAACTCGAAAGACTTTGCACTTCTATCAAATAAGTTGTCAAAATTCGTTGCCTCCTTGATAAAATTTAAGCAATAAGAAATGTTTCCTAGTTTGCGAAGAATCCAGCCTTTCAAAAAGCTGGATTTCGCACTAGACCACCTTGGAGGTTCACGATGAGCCTAAAGTATCCACTTGGTGGGGAGATTATTTCTTGTAATCCGACGGCCTTCAGTACTTTTCATTCTTGTTGCCTTCCAAGGATCTAATTTTTTCGAAATACAACTGACTGGAGAATAAAATGCAAAATGGTGGAGAAACTTTACACCTCTGCTTGGCTTCTGATAATCGTTGTCCTCGCGACGACTGATGCTTTACAATTTTAAGAAAACCAAAACCAAATTCGCAAAAATCCAATCATTCCGAAGGTCATGAGTTGGAGAACCTAATCATGAGTCTGGAAAGATCCATTCTTGGACAACGTCATTTCAAGGGAGAAAATATAGTTGCGGAGGCATTTTACACCTCTACTCGACCCAGATGCCTCCAAAAACCGACGGCTTATTGAAGTACTGTTATCAAGTAGTCGTGTTCAGAGATTTTGAAGAATTAGGCCTTCCAAAAAATCAGCTGTCGCAAAAGCCGTCCTTAGGTTGTTAAAAAATGGTTTTCTAGGAATATGAATAGAGTTCTACCGAAAAACCATTCCGCAAAGCTCATTTGATTTTAAATCATGGAATACGATCCCCCCGAATAACGCAAATTTGACGATCTCGTCTTTTAAGCAGAACCTCATCCTAAAGAGCATTAACTGAGAAGAAATCTTACCCATCTTCTTTGCCTACCAGTTTCCAATTTGGTGATTCGAACCTCCTAAAATTAGATTTAATACCAGATATTCACCTTAAATAGGGGCAGCCCTGGGAAATTGATTTGCAGACAGTTAATATCAAAGCAAAAAATGAATTTCCCGTCAGTATCAATCTACAGTGGATCAGTATTCTAAACGATAGAACATCGTACTTTTACCTACAAGAAATATTAATACATCATTCCCACATGCTATTGTGCAAGATGACTTGTAAAAACAGATTACCCGCTCCTTCATCCGCATCATCGTCTTCTTCCTCTTCCTCTCCCTCTTCCTCTTCTTCCTCATCTCCCTCCTCCTCATAATCATCAACATCTTCCTCATCATCAATGTCGTCCTCTCCACCTTTACCGTCCATCTCGTCGACCTCCCGACTGCCTTCGATCTCGAAGCAATTGGCAACATTGACGTTGGCAGAGCTGTCACCAATGCCTCCACCGCCATCACCAGCTCCGCTTTCGACAACACCACCTCCGGACATGGCTGAGATGTCACGCAGCCGCTTCGGTGTCGTCACAAAAGTTCCCTCCTTGTACCGACGCATCTCCTGATCAGTTAAATCAGAAGAGAAAATATGGCGTTGATTAGATATATCTCCTCGCACATGGCAGCTGACTCGATTGTGGGTTAAATCAATGACCCACTTCTTCGTAGCGCTGCTTATCCTTCTGCGCTTGCAGTTCATAGGGGGCCTTATCCGGACATTCGTCCCATAGACGCCCGAGTTCTTTGGCGACCTCGCTAACCCGCCAATCCGGATGAGTGTTGCGGACTTCAGAACGATAGTGGTCGCAGAAGAAGAAGAAAGCAGAGAGGGCGCGCTTGGGCATTGAGGGGTCCTTAAGTCGCCGCCTTTTGGTTCCCCGCATGTGATGGTGATGTTCAAAGGTCGACTGCTGCCCACCTGGTTGAGATTGTTGTTGCTGCGTATGCATCATGGGTTGGGGCGGAAGTTGCTGTTGCTGCTGTAGCTGCTGTTGTTGTACATACTCCCCCATCTCTCTGTTGTAACGCTTTGTATCCAAGCGAGACATCTCTTCAAAGGGAACTCGTTTGTCAGGAGGCATTTCCTTCAAAAGTACAGTAAAGGGGCTCGATGGGATGAAACGATGGTTTTAAACTTCTGTACACATAAACAAAGGGACAAACTCACACGCCATCGCTCTGCACACCGCTTGGCAAATTCGTTAAAAATCACATTTTCATTGGGATGAAGAGAGCGATGCTTATCCCGAATCACTTGAACAAAACACGCAAAACTGGAAAGGGGACTTTTGGGCCGGTTCTTGTCCTTCACCCTCATTCACTACACAAGCGCCCGCGGCAGCAATGTGCATACAAACAAAAAGTATTTAGGCATTAACAACTTCAAAAAATACATATATAAAAAAAAGAATTACCCAAAACAAATCTAAGATATTTAAAAAAATAGGCCATGGATTTTGCTTAGACATGCGTGACAAAGGGGGAAGAATAGAACCACAACCATGAGTTTGTCAAATTACTGTAAAAGTGGTAGTATAGACAACAAAAATACCAGGTCTAGCAAATACTTTTGCATTTTAACAAAAACAAATCTTTAAATGCATAAATGCTTTGTAGTTATTAGAAGTATGAAGAAAAATAGGCTGCATTGTAACGAAAAACCCCATAAAACAACACAGTGTATGGTTTTTGCACAAAATCAAGAACAAGACAACGTCAATACAGACCCACTTCGTAATCCTTTATAAATGCAATGCCCTAGAATGACCCCCGGAATTATCAACAAGAACAAACACAAAAGTGGGTTATTTGCAAAGAAACATTTAAAAATACGTTCTGACATGGTGAGCCATGTTTCCCGTGCCTCTTGTTCAACTGCACGAATAATATGCCAAGAGGGGTTAACTTCCTGGTCATGTGCGGTGTATGCCCGACATATTGGGACCGATACGGTGTTGGATCGAAATAAATAAGGCAAATTGCAAGCGAGATACAAACATGTAATTACATCGCTCGCGTATGTTGCGATTTAAACGCGCGCGAATGTGCGTGCGTTTACAAATGCACAATGGCAGTGATTCTTCCCTGTGGCATAATTAGTGGTAGATGCTATGTGGCCGTGTTATCATTAAAATATAATTCACGAGACTGTGTATTTAAAGTACCAGGTGAACCATGGTTAACTCACGCATTTCTGATCTATTCCATCGCACTTTCAGCCCCTAATTAAAAGTGCCTATATCAGGATAATGCTTGACAATAACTCGACGCATTATCTAAGCCGACACTATTGATTTCCCCAAAATGAATTGTTTTACCGACCTCCACGCAGATACATCCGCCATGTTATTGCTATAACAACGTTAGATAATCTGATGTCCTAGATACAAAAAGCGGTTTACTCGGTAATTCAGAGACTCGGCTCAAAAATTTTAAAATTTTACATATTGATTTTAATTAAACATTAGGGGAACTTACCAATTTTACCTGTTAACGCAAATATTTTAAATTCACTTATTAACGGTTTTCGTGCGTTATTAAGAGCGGACGATTGTATGATTCCTGTCGTGCGCTCGGCGTCGTTTTGTTTTCTGTCCTTGTGCTCGTTTTTCGTGTGTTGTCATCATTTTCCACGTTTGTTTTAAAAACCCGTTCATGTCTCATAAGGTAGAACTAGTAGATAGGAGACGCACTTTCCCTGAGTACTCCGAAGAATCAGGCATGAAGCATCGACGGTACGTTTGTGCACATGGGGCGCCATCTTGCATGTGACCGTTTTTTACTCTGCCATGCGCCATATCATATACATTCTTCCAATGCTTGTTTGCTTCTCGTCCTTTCGTGTCTGCACTTTTGTGGATCTAATGATTCAGTATCTCCTTGTAGAAGCAATGTTTCTGATATCGCAAAGTCTGGTCAAGTTGAAAACGAAAAACGCGTTAGACGTGAGATTGCAAACTGCAACGAGCGACGTAGGATGCAGAGTATTAATGCTGGTTTTGAGAACCTTAGAATTCTTTTGCCGCCCACACAGGATGGTGAGAAATTGAGCAAGGTAAATTCTGCATTCTATCTTTGACCCTAGTAGGCATCTATTTTGCAACAAACTGCAAAACTTGTCAATACCCTTCTCCTGAAAGTGAGCGCTCTTGAACAGGAATTGGCACTCTACCGACGTTCGACTGGTCTGCCCCCGTCGGCGGTACTCGCAGACATTACTGAAGAGGTCGCGACTGGTTTCGCAAGAAAGCGTCGCGCTGAAGATCAAGGTAAGCTGCATACTCCGAAGTAATTCTCTCCCTTCAGGAAAGACGTTGGAATCCCTAAAAGTGGCTAAGCAGGATGTCGAGACAGCACTTCTTGATCTTGATGATGGCAACGCTTCGGGTCGCTCCTCGGACTGCTACGATGGTAATTTTGGATGCTCTCCGTCGTCGACTACTCGACTGCCGCCAGTCTCGTCCGCTTCACCTCTCGATAGTACCGTGGGCACTGCTGCCCGTTTGGAGCACCTGGTGATGGCTATTGAGCAAATCGAGGGCCCTCCGGGGAATACGCCTCAGCAGCTAGAAAAACCTCCTCTTAACGACTCATTCGCCTATGTTCCGCATGGGCAGACTGTCTACTATAAGTTCCCGGACTCAGTTTCAGACTTGAGACCATTTTCATACGGTTTAAATACGACTGATTCTGGTGTCCTAAAGCAGAATATCAACTCCTTCGCAGAGGAGTTCGTTCTGAACTCTTCTCCGCCTGCGCTGCCACCGACTCCTATTCCCGCGTGCGAAGACAAAAGTCACAAGGAGATGTCGATGGATGGGTACCATCCCGTCGCGAAACTGCTGAATCGTCCAATCCCCCATAAGTATCTTCATCGTCCCCAAGTTGTAGTCAATAATTCGCACTAACTTCATCCTAGATGCTTTATTTTCTTCAGCCTTCACCACCGGGTCCCGGTCTTGACCTCTAAGTGGATGGCTGCTGTGTACATAACCTGTTCAATATCCTGTCTTACCGTTTTTTTCTTTCCTACGAGCACAGTTTTATAATATTTTACGGATTTGTTGAGTCGTGAGACCTCTTCTGTAGGTTGGTGAATTTTGGCCTGTTTGCTGATGTTTCATTTGTACATTGTCCACTGAAGCTTCTCAGCTGGTACCATTTTTCCTCTCCTAATTATTAGTGGTGTGAACTACTACGGCTCTTGTTCTTTTCTTTCCAATTTCTCGACTCCGGTCCAGATATCTTCCTTTCAATGCGCTTGATTTGTTTTTTCCTGGATTAAAAAAAATCTCGATTGAATTGCCTCATGTTTCTCCAGTGTCGCAGTTAGGGGTTGGTTAGTTTTAACACTCGATGAATGCTGCTACAGCGGGGATGTGATGGCTTGGCTTCTTTTCCCCAAATCTGGGTGTACTTTTCGGATGGAGTTCCAGACTCGCATGCACCGTGGAGCGGGTTGGGGCCCGTCACTTGTTTCGAGATCGGCTAAACCGTCGTTTGTGTTGTGGGCGCGCGTTGGTGTGTGCATGTCCTGGACGCGCTGATCGGTCTAATTGTAACGCAGAGATAAAAAGTCTTGAGTCGGCATCTGTGTCATCGCAAAGCCGTTTTGGGACGAGGGCGTTGGGTGATTCAGGATCCTGATTTTTCTTCGAACCAAAACGGAAAGCGGGGTGGTGAGGTCACTCACGATCGCATTTTTTCTTTCCCCTCGAACGCTCGGATTCCACAGGCTGTGGACCTTGGTGCCCACGTCGTGTCTATCCAGTAGTCATGTCACTTGCGCGTTTAAATCCGTTCCAAAGATTGACCTTATATCCTGGACTCGCGCTCTTTTTCGCCAAGCATCTGTCTAAGCAATGCCCCTGTCATTTGGTTTCCTCGTATTTTTGCCTCAGTAATAGCTTTTAGTTTTTATTAAAGATCGTTCATACGACGTAGCTAGTGAGCGCAGCAAGTGGTAATGCCACCTGCTGTAGTACGAAGAGCACCCGACAGATGGATCCATCCCGTTCATAATCACGTCAGCCAATCTTAATTACTACTTACGCAACTGGAGTATATCAAGAGTGCTCCACCAAATCGCGATATCTAAATCTTTTCTTTTAGATATACCTTTTTCAAACGCTAAATTTAGTGAAAATTCCAGGTGATTTGCAGAAAAAACTTTTTTCCGGTGCATTCCACTTAACGCTTACCCGAGCTACTCGCTTGAACCGCACAGGTACTCAAGCAGACGACACCGCTATTGCGATATAGGCGCTACCGACCACGCAATCCACTGGGTGATCGGGCCTGCAATTCACACCGCAAGCTTACCCTCGTTGGCGGCCTTCGAACGCCCAAGGCAGCTAAGGTAGAACTTGGTAAACCCATTTAAAGTTTGAAATCGTGCAGCCAATCCTACTCTGCAGTGTGAATTCGGTTGATTCCAATCAGTCAGACGACCCCGTTTCAAGCCACCACTCGGTTTATCGATTACCGCCCTCCCCCCCTCCTCTCGCACGCGCGCTTGCACTATCGATCCCGCGCGACCTAATATTTAAATTCGCAGCCGATTGAAATAGGCGGATTTTTTAAGCCAAAGCGGCAAACTCCTTTCATAAGACCTGATCGTCTGAGTCGGCATTGATTATGCCATGCACAGAAACGCTTTTTTGATTTTGATTTTCGCCGCTTCTCGGGTGCCACTTTTGCACCCTGCAGGTTATAAGACACACCCAACAGGGCTTTGGATTGTAAGCTTGGCAGCTGCACACACGCGCGACGAAATTAGAGGCCAAAAGTAGTAACGTGTTTTCGTGTTTGGACCCACACGTGCTTCTCGCCTCCCTCTCCCATTTAATTACGGTTAGCGTGCGCAGCACACAGCAGCGCAGTGGTGGCCACGCAGCAGTACTACTGCGTTGCGCTGTTTTATTTTTGTTTCAACTTTGGGAACCCAGCCAAATCTCGCCCCGTGTGCAACCAAAACACAATCATGTGCACGCCCGGAGGCCGTCACCCCACACGCGCGTTTGATTGGAGCGTGCTGCGGTGGCACGTACGCACATGCTCACGTCATAGGCGGGTGACTTGGCGCGAGGCGCTGGAGCAGGCAAAGTTGGCAACGCAGCCGAAGTGGTACGCGTGCACACGTGCATGGGAAGGCCAGGACCGCCGAGCTGTGCCAAATCATCACAACTTAATCCTTCAGGTCCGCGTAAAACCAAACCATTCATGCCAAGCCTGCTCACCCACACACAAACACAGCTTCACTCCTGGCTCAGACAGCTGGGAATGGTTAAGTGATTGCGGCAGCGCCGCCTAACAGATGGGGCAGGATCAAAGGAACTCCTTTGTCGTTCAAAGGTGCTCAAGGGACTTTGAACTTTTTGGGCGTCTTCATTTGAGAATGCAGTCTTTCATGCATTTACACAGCTAAGGATTTATGAGTGGTGAAGCAGAGATACAATGCGTTCACTTGCCTCGTTCAAGGGAACGAGAAAGAGACGTCAATGCCTATCATTTAGAACGTAATGATGCCTAACTACATAGAATCGTGGCTACCACACTGGCATCATGATATCCAGTTCATGTCACCTATGCTAATAGTTCTCCATCCCTTCTATGCTTTGACATTAGGTTTTCAGGGCTGACTTGGTCATCACACCTTAACGCCTTGGCAATTTGCAGTCCCAAACATTTTTAAAAAATTTTCTGGAATATCACTTGTTTATTTCTTACAGGATGGTATGTAACAACCCACTTCCTTGGGCACTGGGACGTAGTCAGACGATAACGAGTTTCTGAGAGAAGTGAGTGAATTTCTTACCGAGCCAAATGGAAGGTGACTATTTACAGCACTTCTTTACTTGAGCGGCTGTCGCCTTGACGATATTTGTCGTGCTAAGTTAATACGGATCTCTTCCTGTAAGATTCGACTGATGTAACCGGTTTAGGCGACAAAATTCATTTGAATGTACCTTTCAATGGCCAGTTGCACAACCTACTGTTTGACATGGATGACTTATTACATACTGGAGACAGATGTGATGCTTGTGACAACCGCTTTTAAATAATCCCAGCTTTACTAGGATTAGGGAATTCAAGAATCAAATGATGAATAGAAATGTAACACTCAAACCCTCCCATAGATACCGTGATTAGCATGAGTGATTTACAGATGGCAACTATTGATTGAATAAAAAATCGGTCCTATCAGTTAATTACTCAGCTTCAAAACTGCCATTCCGATAGTTCTGACCCGTTTATCTGAACTATCAGAATGACCCGACCTGACCGTAAACACGGAGTCGTGTTTCTCTCCATTTATTGATATAACCTTAACAGTTAAAAGGTATCGTTCCTGGGGGGTACACGTAATGGCGCCGGAATCGTGTATCATGGCACGCCAACATGACGACTGCACGAAATCGGCGCCATTAAGGGCTCCACCACCACAATGCATGCTTGAGAGACAGGGCATTTTTAGCATTTGCGGAGCGCAGCCCTTCTGGCAATATGATTTGGGTGGTTGTGCGCCATCCACGTGGCAGCAGTCACACGCTTCAACGGTCGCACCCACGCACACATGCCTGCTGCCATCAGCTGTTGTTGTGACTGCTACCCGCCGCCGATCGGAGTGCGTGATCTCAGAACTCCCCATTGGTTTGTCAGTGGACATAAACGCCTACTGATTTGTTGTAAGTAGACATGATTTATACTGTCTTGGAACAGGTGTAACTTTGAGAATTTTGCACAGATGCCAACGATAAGATTGTTTGAAACTAACTTAAATTGGAAAAGGCCAAGTGGTAAGGATTCGCATTTATATGCTTGTCTATCAAAGAGATCAGAGGCATATCGAGCAAATACATAAAAGAGAGATAGTTAACTATGTACAACGCTTAAGTTACGCTGGCGCGGTCGTGATGGCTGACGCTGGACGTTGACCACGGATGTCACCGAGAATGATGCTTAAAGGGGGAGAGAGACTATGCAATACGTAAGTTGTTTGTGTAAGTCTCGACCTTGGTAACAAGCCAATGAAGGGTAGCTCCATCGTACTTTCGCCGGGTGGGATGGCCTCCAGAACATACCAGTAGCGCCTAGACTTTCTCTTCGTCAGCAAAAAATATTCTGCTGTAGTAGTATGTCCTCTTACATCTTTAGGGAAGGGTTCGGGAGCCACACTTATGCTGATAGCATTCTGAACTATGGCAAGGACCTCGATTAAGATTAATGTAGAACAAGCAATTCAAATATCCTGTGGGACTTTTTGGTATGAACATTCTTTAAATTGACCCCATCTTAGCTCATTCGCCAATTTTTAATGGCTTATTTAATGCAATCTTGGAGCCCACATGGAAAACAATCTTCACGACTACTTGCTTTGATAACCCAATAAGACACAGGTGTGAATATTTTATTTCCTTGAATGGAAATGTCAGGCGAGAATAATGAGTTTCTCCTGAGTACGTAATTTTGCACTCTTTACAAAGTAGGTTGTTCATGATTATCTACTTGAATAGGGGAGATAGTTCCTAATTTTTAAACTTTGCACGTCTGATTGTGACCCCAGATTGTCGAATGTTTTCCGACTCACATGCTGTAGTTCATTTTGTTAGTAGTTAAACTGCAGCTCGTTGTAAGAGTCACGGTTCTGTAAGAAAACGGATAAAAAAAACACAAGAGGATGCACGAGTAGACAAATTTAAAGGACTTTTCCCTCTTCAGTTCTGAAGGCATAACTAGAAGCAAGGCGTTTCTCAAAAAGCCTAATTTATTGACCTTTAAAATTTGTGATATTGAAGTACCATAAGTAGAATTTACTATTCCAAGTAGAGTGCGTCTGCTGTACAAGGCATTGGTACACAAACACGCGCACACCTCACCTTACGTTGGGTGGAATTCACCCGCCATTCTCTTCATTCCGTATTCCCCCCACGACGCACAGCATTGACTCACCTCGCCCTTCGACATCTCAGCGGTCATAGACACGGGCACATTACCATAGGCTCTGTAGGGATCGTTTTCGAAGTCCGCTCCCTGACCCCCAACCATTGAAGGTGAAAGATAATGCAAGGTATGCGAAGTCGCAGCACACACAGGTAAAGTGTGTGGAAAGTGGTGATTCTCATCCCCCACTCCTCCTTCAACTTGAACTCTGCCATACCTTGTAGTATCGAAAGTATAGGTCCCAGCCGGGCAGTAGAAGGGAAGTTCACACTCAGTGGAATAAGATGCACTGTACCGGTACCAGAGCGGACTGGCTTTAAGGGGTTGTTGCTGAGATGCTGTGGAGGGGATATCGGTGGTGACAGCATCGGTGGCGGAAGAAGTGGTGCAGACGGCGTGAACGCGCATGTGTTTTCGCAGTGAGCTGGGATGGGAGTAACTTTTGCTGCAGCCCCGGTAACGGCAACTGTACGGCTTCTCGTTCCAGTGTGCGTGCATGTGCTTCTTGCGATCCGAGCTGTTGGCAAATCGACGATTACAGCCAACGAACTCGCAGAGGAAGGGCTTTTCACCTACACAGAAGGAAAAGGTGCAAAAGTTGACATAGACAGAACCGGTTTCCGTTGTTTTCCTGCACTACTGTTTATGAAACATCTTTTTCTTGATGAATGGATCTAAAATCACCAATTTAATAAGGCATCAAATAAATTATTGTACCGAGTGTGAGATGGAACATGCGGTTAAACAATAAGAGGGCCATTGAAGTGACGGCAAAGGTGGGTTGTTTTCATGACTTCTTAGGACAGGATGTGTTAAGGAAGTAGAATTAGCGAGCACTTTGCATCCTGTCGAGAAAAGATTGTGCAAACTCAATAAATGCGCCATCTAAGAATCTCTAGAGCTGCTTTTGTTTTGTCAGATTTTCCTATCATTAAGGAAATGTTCTCACGCATCATTATGGAAAACAGAAAGAGTATTTCGAAGTGCGAGAGTGATATCTGGCACAACAACCTAGCACGTGTGCTGCCATTGTTTCCAAAGCGGATGGACAAGGACAGCCCTATTGTTTTGATGACTGACAGACTGACTTGTTCCTTGAAATTGTTTCAACTCATTCAATTTGCAATGCATGATTTTGTGCAATCAGCTATTATAACTGGTAAGTGGCTTGACACTTGCTTATGACAGTGGGCTCGAGTGAGAAAATCGGAGCATCATATGCACATTGGGGCATGTAAAAGCAAAAACTGTGGGAATGGTAACCTTCATACTAGGGATGCGCACCCCACAACCAATCTGCTGAAACAGCCTAATATCTTCATTGGAGTCTAGCTCCTCGGTACTTCGGTTAACTTCCATCAATTAGACTAACAGACAAATAATGCTAGGAAATTGGTTTCACGCTCCACTTCATCTCACCACACCGAGTGGTAACATTGTTGAAGCTCATGAATGTATCCACCACTGAAAGGAATCTACTTTGCTCTCTTAATGTAGCAGGATGGCTTTCAGACTCGTCTTTAAATCTTAGTCGATTGCCGTCAATCATGTCAAGTGGTGAGTGAAAAGCAAAATCGCAAATTTTTGCACCACTGTTCAAGGAGCATCTACCGTTGGTTTGATAGTGTAAACCAAGGGAAAATTGTTACCAAGTTATGTGGCCATCGACAAGCAGGAAGGGATAGAAGAATTCCACCGGCCTTCTCTCCTCTCCTCAGAGTGACGCTGCACATAGCGGACCCACACTAGCGACTAAAGGGTGTGCACTTGGCCATACACACACCGAAATAAACTAGGAAACAGAAGTGCTGGTGAAGACGGACAGATATCACTTTCATGGGTGTAATCGAACGTGCCTGTGTATGTGATGTGATGTACAGCTGTCAAGCATCCTGTCCACGCGTCTCCCTCTGTCTATCTCCATCTCCTTGGTTTTCTCGTCTGACTTGAACTTTCGTTTTCTCACACCTACTGCAGCAGCAGAAGCAGAGGCAGCAATTACAGAATCAGCAGCCACCAATAGTTCTTCTATTTTTTCTTCATTAGATACTCTGTTCTGCTTGTTTAGCAACTCTAAGCTACTACGGACCTTTGTCTTTTTAATATAACTGGTTTGTGATATTATTAACACATTTACTGCTAGCACAACCTATATGTGATGCCCCTATTTTATCGCTCGGGCCGGACATCACACACACATGACGCGCTATTTACCAGCCATGATAGCTGATTGCACAAAATCATGCATTCAAATAATTAAAGGAGCATGTCAGTTTGTAAGTGAATTATTTTCCTTATTTGCAGAGTCATACCCATATTCTACAAAAAATTAGTGACGATGGGTGTCACATTAAAACAGTGAAACATCTGGACGGTGTTCGCCGATCTTCCACGGAAAGACTGCAAACAAACGTGTTAGATAACGCTCTTATATTTCGCCTTGAATAATTGGAATTCGGGGAGAGGACTAGTTCAACCTCGTTGACTTGCATCAGCGAGACATTCCACATTGACCACGAAGTTGTAAGCTGAGATGGATATATCTTAAATCTTAAATCTCAAGTATGGTGAATTGGCATAGATTCTGATACGAATGCTGCTTCAATAATTTTGAGCCCTTTGAAGTGAGTATAGTGTTAGGTGGGCGTGGAGTAGGCTTTTAATTGATTGTTGTCAATCCTATCAGACCCTACTTGACTGAACAGTCCGGTGCCACGTCAACAGATTTGAAAATATAGAAGTGAAAAGTTTTTACTGGAAGTCTGCACTCATCCTGTAGAAGATTGATTTGCAGCGTTAGAAGTCTAAACCATTTTTGGCAGAAAAAGTGAAAGATGAACAAACGTACAATTATGTAACAGAGGCGTACCCCGCCAAGTCAGTCATAAATTGTCTATGAATGATGCCTCAGTGTTAACTCAACTCCCTGGGATGGAATTTTTTCGAAGCTGGTAGGGTGGTCAAGCTTATGAGGGCCCGAAGACGCAAAATGTGCTCTAGGGACATGCGTTTGAATGGTTAGTGGATTTAAATTAAATCAAGGGGAGAAGGGAGATAAGCGGCATTTTATATTTCAACACTCTGGAAAGAACTGTCCTTCACACTGGTGTTAATGCCTGGAAAACCTTCATAATGGTCTATTTTTCCTGACCCATTCTTTAATCACCGTTACATACATCTGGAGAGCGCCTGTTATCAGTTTGTAATAACCAGTTGCACTAAATCTTAGAATGTCTGAGTTCAAAACGATGGTCTAATGACACACATTTCTCAACCTTCTATGCTGCAAAACTCTAAAAAGAACTGATCTTTTGTTGGTATTGATGGTTCCTTTTCATCCAAGGCTTCCTCCATAGGACGAGTTGACTGTGATTGTGAGTTAACTCCTCTCGCCTTTTTTGTGTGTAAATAAACAAGCTTCAACGTGTTCTCCTTCCAGACGGTCCGACAAGTAGTACATGAGAAGGGGAGGTGGGGGAGGGAGACGGCTTGGCACTACGCCTTACACCACCATCGTCTTGTGTGGTTTCCCCGTTTCCATCCTCCATCCGTCCATCATGACGGACATGGCTTCAATGCGCACGTGTGCGAATTAACTGCATTCAGCTGAGTGGATAAAAAAATGCAAACTCATCCAGCCTACCTCGATGGAGATGATCAAATAGTGGTTTAGATAACCAGTCAGGTGAATGGTAGGATCTAAATCGCATTCTAATCGTTTTATAAAGGCAGTAAAGCAAGATTTAAATGGTATGTTTCTGTTTTGAAACATGAACCATATCTTTGGATTACTTCAAAATGGTTCATCCAAAGCACTTTTGGAAGAGAAATACTAGTATCACAACTTAATTCAATGATTGTTTAAAAAAGATGGACCAGCTCAAGGGAAACTAATTTTTTAAACATATGCTCCTTTATTTTACTTGGATGCTGAAACATCTCCATCCATCCATCCATCCATCCATCCATCCATCCATCCATCCATCCATCCATCCATCCATCCATCCATCCATCCATCCATCCATCCATCCATCCATCCATCCATCCATCCATCCATCCATCCATCCATCCATCCATCCATCCATCCATCCATCCATCCATCCATCCAT